TGACATGTTGATTTAGCATTGCCACTAGTGCATTCAGAGAATTCGTCTCTTGCTCACCAAGTTGGAGCCTGGCACCCAACGTATCAAGCTCTTCGAGTTGTTGCTGCAAAATGGAATGTCGCTGGTTCGTCATTGTTGGCACACTGGTAAGGAGCAATAGCCAAGCTTGCTCCGGATGAGTGTGTGTGTGTGTGCGCAAGACTCGTGTTTCGACCCTGATAATGACACCTCCAGGTTGATGATATCATGTAGTGGCAGTTATGGAGCGGTGTTGGGGAGGGTTCGGGGGGTGTACAGCGGGGTCAAGAAAATCGGGAACTCTGCAAAAGGAACTGTATTTCATCCGGATTCCTCGGATAGAGATAGACTGCCCCAAACTGAGTTGGACAGAATGACCCACCTGGCCATGCTGCGTGGTGTCTGAATGAGCTAGACTCTAGGACCAAGGGCATAGGGCAAAGGGCACCACAGCGGGTCTGGGATTGACAGGCGGTAAATATTGCATCCCAACTTCCTCCGAGCGAACCACCCCCTTGAATCGCCCTCCAAAAGGTGAATCACGTCTCCAAAAGCGGATGTTTGACCACCACAGAAAACAGACACATGAATGGACTCAAATGGGTATATGTCTTTTCTTGAGGGCACCTTGTGTTGTTGTGTTGAACAGAAACCAACGGGAAATCGGTCTCTCATCTTGAGACAAACCCAACAAATAGAGTAAACAGTCAACTCTTATCATGCCATCGCACCTCCGGCGGCACCGCTGGACTGCTCTCCACATGCTGCATCAGCTGATCTGCGTTCAAAAGCCTCAGGCTGTGGCTTAAACAAATCGATGTGGATGGAGCATTCAGACAGAGTGGGGCCAATCCTATTGTTTTTGCAACCATCTTGTGGAGTATCTCAAAAAGGGAATCGGGTCCGGTTGTGTAAACACGTGTTTCATCATTTTGCCCAACTCCGCCATGAGGGCTTGCCTGGTAACAGTGACAAGTTGGAGGCTCGACCCCGGAGGCAATCAGCAAACCCGCCCGCCACTCGCGCGCTGAGGGACTCTGATGGAAGTGCAGTTGCACTGCTTCGTGAGCACCAAAGGATGCCAACCATGCCTGAATCTGGAGCGGAAATGTCAAGCGCCGGCACGCAAAAGCCTGTGCACTAAAGACCCGTCCTTCCAGCACGGCTAAGCCAAGGAGTACGAATGGCTTTTCAGCTGAGAGTCGAGACACCCTGTCATGGACCTTCATTGGGCCCGAGCTTCCCTTGCCCCCCAGCTGAGGGAACAAACCCGTGGCCCTCGTCTCGATTGTGGCTCACCTGTCGCGCGCTCTCGCACCTCCCAGTTTCAGACTTAGTCAGCCCCAAAGCGTAACATGGTGTGGAATAGTGCAGAGACCCCCGGCCGAAACTCAGACCCCGGACACCAACTGCGGCAGCGGCGGCCAAGGCAAGCGATCCGACCGCTGCCAGAGGCAGCCGCGCCAAGCGCCTGGATTATATCTCTTGTCTCTCCATATGCATTGTGTGCGTAAGCGTACTTGTCTATGTATACATAAAGATAAATACTTTTCCATGTTTATGGTACACCCCCCCAATGCCTAGGTGTTGCTTGATTTCAGTGCATTTGTTTGGCCAAACTTGGGCACCAAGGAAGGGGGGTGTGCCACAATTCTACAAACAATATTTTCTGGAATTCTGGAATATTGAATATTGTATCCCACATATAAAAACAAGAAAGAAAAGAACAAAAACTGGGATTCAAGATTCAAGATTTCAAAATATTATCTTTCTAATCTTGAATTTTGAATCCTGAGTCTCATATAAAAAAACACACACAAAATCTGTGATTCAAGATTCAAGATTCAAGATTTCAAAAGAATATGTTTTCTGGGAATCTTGAATCTTGAATCCCAGATTCTAGTGTTAAATCCAGGTGTGTCCCAATACTCTCGGTGTTCAATAAGTTTTTCGGAAAAGCTTTCCGTGAAATATTTCTATCTCGAATCTTCAATCCAGTGGTAAAAGTTTTAGAACAACTTGATCACTTTTTGGGTTTGACCAGGATGGATGATTCTCAGGAAAGTTGTTGTTTGTGCAATCCTCGATATTGAATCCTCAATCCAGTGGTAAAGCACTTTCAAGCGTGAGAAGAACTTGAATGTTGTTTGGGTTGGGCCAGGATTGACAATTCTCAGGAAAGTGTTCTGTGGAATCTTCAATCTTGATTTTTTCCATCCAGTGGTAAAATACTTTCAAGTGCTTAGCGATCCAGTGGAAACACTTTCAAGTTATTAGTTAGACAAACTTTCAAGTGCTTCATGTTAGCTATGAAGCGTGTTGACCCTTTTCCAGGAGGTAACCAAAGGTAGGTGTATGCTCAAAAACACCGTATTTACAGTAGGATCATTAGAGGTACTAGATAGGTGTATGTATGTGTATATATATATATACATGTATGTATGTATGTTCACACACCGTCACCCCCCCCTCTTGAACTACCTCTCCACATTCGCTCATCTACTACCTCCGCCTTTTGATTGAGATGTGAAGCGGAAGACCATTTGGACTCGTGCGTTGCCCTGCGAAAGCTCTGTGATGGAGGTCGTGAACAGTCCGCGAACAAGGCATTTCCCGGAACAAGGAGTTTCAGAAAACCGCCACGCATGTCTATGTATCATATATGATATTTGTGTTGTATGCGTATATATATATATATATATGCTACACCCCCCCCTGGTGCCTAGGTTTTGCTTGATTTAAGTGCGCAGGCTGTAGAGTTTAGATTTGTTGCAATAGATTTTAAGCACAGACGAATGGGCTTGCAGTCCATCATGGCAAGATCCGAAATGTCCCAATATGATACCCTTTCCAAATAGGACTTTACTTCAACTAGAATTGGAATTTTGAATATCATTTGGTTAGGATATAGTTTTCAAAAATGTGTTTATGCTCAACATTGCTCAACTACAGCTTATATAAGCAAATCCTTTCCAAATAGGAGCTACATGAGAATATAAGTATAGTTTCGGGCAAACTCCAACTAATCTTCAACAAAAGAAGTTAGGAGCTTATTCCCAAATAAAATCTAAGTGTTATATATTTTCTAATACGAACACAACTCAATTAGCTTTTCATAATAACAATTAAATAGAGACTACTTCTCAAACTTAGTTCATATTAAATATGGTTAAACATTTAAGGGACTTCTTCAAGGAAACTCGAAATACGTTTTGTGTTATTTATATCCTGACCCTTTTGCAGCATAAGAAAGGTCCGAAATTAAACTTGTAGGACGGTGTTCCAAAAGGAAATTTCAAGGGAAGAGAGGTTCAAATTCGAAAACTATTTCGAAACAGGGATTCTAGCTGAATCAGTTGTATTTAAAGTTCTATTTGTACAAGGATCTTTCGGACGCCTTAATATTGTATGCACATTGGTGGTTTGGATGGTGGCTTGCAGGTTTCAGGGTACCTTCCTATTCAATAATCATCAACAAATAGGGGTCCATCCCCTATCCACCACGGATGCGAGTGCTGTTGCTCACCAAGATGTGCTGTGTCACACAGAGATCAAGGCGTTTCGAGCCTGCCACGCTCCAGCGAGCGAGTTGCAACACCTCGTCCTTCATCGGGAAATATTGTTCCTAAACTTACTCAGACTAACATCGGTGGATTATTGGCGAAACATTGATCAAAAATGGTATACTCCTCATGGTATACTCCTCGAGCCCCATTAATCATGGCCGGCGTCAGCTTGACGGGAATTCACCCAGGCAAGTGGCCAAAAAAGCGACGCGCGCACCAGGCCGAACATTGGGACCACAAACGGATCCTCACTGTAAATATTCCTTAACATCGAACCTATACGTGGATCTCCCGTTTCTACGTCAACCACACCCGACAAATCTGCCTCTACCGTGAACAACCGCAGTTGCCCTTGGCCACAGGCGCCCGACGTCGACCCTCCGAACCGGCCTCGGTAAGTGGACAGGTGCGCCCCCGCGGCCACCGCGGCCCGAAGGCCCAGGAGATGCGCCATGCGGACTTTCGGCGGGGCTCGTTAGACGGCATGGGATTCGCTACAAGAAGACGATGGCTCGACTTGAGATTGGGGGGTTGAACCCCTGCCGTGTTGATCTGCTTCACGTTTTTGGGTTGCATGAGCTCGACTTGAACCTGGAGGCGTTTGGTTAGGATCTCACAAAGGTTTAATGGCCCTCCATGATCTGCACAAATCCGGCGAAACAGCAGGCCTGTCGCACATGGTCATTGCGCTAGCTGCTTGTTGGGTGGCTGCTTTGCGAAGGATCCGCTCCCAGGGCCCATGTGGCACTCGACAGCTTCAGGACGACCCACTCAGAGCCTGAACCGCCAGTACCAAGTCAGCATCTTTGTTATTGGGGCAAGACGGTATCATTCCAGAAACGCAAGTGTCCATGTTGCTTGTCAAGTGCACGGCTCCACAACTACCCTCTGCAACCTGGGGGTCCGCTGGATGCGACAAAGGCAAGCGCCACACAATCAAACATCAAGATCCAGAGAGCTGTGCAAAAAAGCAAGTGGACGCCGTCCGCCAGCATATGCCCACCGCACAAGCGATCGTTGAACAACATCAAAATAGCCCAGTTGTGTGGTTGCAAGCACCATGCGGAATGCGACAAAGAGAAAGTAGCGGTCTGTCTGTGTGACCATGTAAATCTTGTGGGCAAGTCAATTGCAGTGTGCCCCGGATGCCGCGCAAGGCACGCAAAGAATTCCTCCCCAATTTACAAAGAGTAAGGATAAAGGGAGTACACAGCCCAAAACATTTCTCTTCTCAAACACATTGCTTGGTGCTCCATCCATCGCACCCACAGCATTGCATACTTTCGACTCTGGATTTCATGCCTCAGGAGGGCTCTTACAAACTCCGTGCATGCCATGTGTGCGTGTGTGTGTGTGTGTGTGTATCCAGGTCTTCGTCTCGGATCCCTCAGGCGCATCCTGATATTTTTTCTTTTTCCGATCACGAAGCGCGGGTGGCTGTCGCTCGAAGACGTTCCGAGAAGGCGCCCTGTACACGGCACGCGCGTGACACTGACCGCCCGCTGTCCTGGGCAAGCAGCACTGCTTTGCGTGCTGCGACTCTTGCACTGACGCAAGACAAACAAATCAGTACATAAACATACGCACATATAATCACGTTGCAGTGAAAGCCCCTGGATGGTTGATGATGACGATTATGCTAGCCGTGACTTGAACACCAAACTTTCAAGAACCGTGATAGTTCGTGACAAGCTACATGACATGGCAAAGACCCTCGAGGGGTGCTCTACGCTGAGAGAAACTCGACCGCTCGCTCCACGCTGCCCTGGCAAGCGGGAATCATCGCACCAGTAATATCATGGGCTACATAATGGGCTATATGATAATCATAGCTTATTCCTCCAATATACATATATATATATATATTTCACAGCCCTTTTCCCTACGTCGCACAGCATCGCGCAGCGATTTTCCAGGGGCTACCACAGTTGGTCAGCGCTGTGAGTCATGCCCACAGACACCTCACAGGCAAAAAGTTCAGGGGGGCTTTGCAAGCCAACGTCTCCCTGAAAATGTTAGCACTGTCGGGCCAACTACAGCACAGCATTCCTTCAAGGAAATCACATAAAAGGGGTTGCATGACTCTGCACCGCGGTGCGCGCGCTCCCTCCCGGGCGGGCTGGGCGGGAACTTGAAACAGCTTACGTAGGACGCGGGCGTGAAAATGCCGTCATGCTGCACACTGCACGCAGGGTTCGCAAGACTGGGGCCATTCACAGCCCTTTTCCCTACGTCGCACAGCATCGCGCAGCGATTTTCCAGGGGCTACCACAGTTGGTCAGCGCTGTGAGTCATGCCCACAGACACCTCACAGGCAAAAAGTTCAGGGGGGCTTTGCAAGCCAACGTCTCCCTGAAAATGTTAGCACTGTCGGGCCAACTACAGCACAGCATTCCTTCAAGGAAATCACATAAAAGGGGTTGCATGACTCTGCACCGCGGTGCGCGCGCTCCCACTCTAAAATGCGCTGCCCGCTTTCAAATGCTCGCATTGCTTTTGGCGAAGCTACGGACAAACAACTGAGAGTAGAAGGCGACGCGTTCATTGACAGCTTCAGATTGACCAAGATGCACGAGTAAGGCTCTAGCTTCATCAAGATAGACCCGACAAGTTTGTTGACTGTGCCATCTCCCCATAACCATTGTGGCATCAAGACTACGCGAACGCTGCCAGTGGTAAGTCGCCCCGCCTCGTCGTAGGCTATACGGAGAGAATTCTCCAGGGGGCCAATTGAGATGGGCACAGAGTCGATGGAATACCTGGCGGAATTTTGGGGCAGTAAACGGGCACAGGAAGCGAGAATCACCAAAAGTCGGCAGCAGCCGGTGCAGACGCTGACTCAGCCAAGGGTCCCACAGGGACAGGCTTTGCAAGCGCCCCTTCGAAGTCTTGGTGGCAGAAAGGGAGATAATGACCTGGCCAGTGCGTGGAAAAGTGGCAATGTCGCAGGCCCTCAAGTTCAATGCTTCGCCTGTGCGCAAGAAGAACAAGAACTGCAAGACAAGCAGGACAGCAAGTTGTGGCAACTTCAATGCCCACGCCACCCCTGCCAGCGCTTGCAATGTTTTCCACGGCATAGGATTGACTCTGTGCACCTGGTGAACCCGCACCCAGTTAGAATAATATTGCGCTGCCGTCGGCAGATGACCCCGCAAGCGGGGGATGAAACGTTTGAGGCCTGAGATGGCCCAGCCTCCCAAGGAAGGGCTTTCGCCTTCCTGATAGATTTCATTGATGAATTCCGCCAAAATGGCATCAAGCTGATGGGCAGTTTCAGGCATGGCCAGCTCCTCGCGGCTCAAGAAAGAAAAGAACTGGGCCACGGCCCGCTGATAGGCTCTAATGGTTTTGCTGTGCAACCCAACGTATTTGAGATGGACCCCTTGCCGCGGCTTACTTTTTGCTCCAGGTCTGGCCCTCCGACGGGTCATGTTTCCGACTGGCACGGTCACTGAAATTCCAGCCCGACAAGGTCCACAATACAATGGGTTGCAAATTGCTAGCCAGCAAAACCGCCATCAACCGGCGAGCCAACCGGTTCATACGCCGTGACGAAGATCTGCCCTTTGCTATGGTGTAATACACCACAGCACTGTCCACGATGTGGAAATACCGCGTGGATTGCTTGTCGAGGACACGGGCCCGACGTCGAACCTCCGTCAGTACCGCCGCAAGCTCTAACACATTGATGTGATCTGAATGTGCCCAAGGATAAGACATCAAGGTCCTCCAATGCCACAAATGCGCTGGATACGGCACCAGCCTGCGTTCATCCGAAGACTGCAGGGTTTGGACCCGCAGGGATGTTCCTCTATGGTGTCCGTGTCGCAGGAGCCATTTCATGTGTTCCGTGGCCCCTTCCTTGAGGGAATGGACCATGGGCAGCACCTGCTCCACCACAGCTGCCGCCACCTCGGGCGATTGCAGCCCCTTGGTTGCTCCCCTGATTTGATAGAGCAACTTCCATCTCTCACCTTGGTCAGCCACTCCCGCAGGAGGTGAAGGGAACCGATCCGCCAGTTCCGCGGCTAAGGCTTGTGCAAAAGCCGCGCACCAGGCCCAAGGGTACTCGATTTCATCTGCATTGCCGGAAAAGAGAAGCCCATCTTCATCGCCAGGTTCGTTTGGCACAACATGGCCATGCCCCGGGCACCTGGGTTGGTGCAGGGCCTGATGAAGCCGAGGGCTATTGTGCAGCAGCCCGGTCCACCTGCGCCGGCGCCCTCCAAAGCAGCAAAAGGAAAATTCGGTTGTAAAAAAGCGATCATCTGCGGCCATCTCGGATACTTCTGGAAAATACCAAAGGTAGCTGCTCCAGGGGTGCTCCAGCGAAACGATCTGGTGGTGCTTTGGTGCATCTTTGAGAGATTTCAAGCTGCGCTGCGCCATTGCATTGGATCGGCGCACCTCGAAGGCTTCTTGGCGCTTCAACCAAGGAAAGCCCATGATGTGGCCACGATCGCGTACTGGCCAGTAGCGATCCTGGCCCGAGCTTCGGCCAAAGTGCTTGTAATCCGGGGAGAAATGCTTCGCTGCCAAGGAAGGGCAATGCTCAATCTCTTCGAGCGCCTGCTTTCCTTCTTGTGTGAACAAGTCATAGTGCTCCGGATCCAGCAACACATCAAAGGGCGGCAAAGTGGCGATTCCTGCCTGCGCCACAGCGCGGGTGAGTGGAAACCTCTTCCCTGAAAAGATTTCGGCAAATGCGGGGACTGAAAACGCTTTTCTCACACACGCAGCTGCCCTGTGTTCCCGGACACACTCCAAGCTGCACAACTTACACCCGCACTTTGCTGGGCACTCCATGGGTTGTTCGTAGCTTTCCCACTGCCAGCTTCCCGCACACCAGGCGCAGGCCTCCTCCACTTGCTGCTCTGTAGGGATTTCAAGGCCAGATCTTCGGGGGTGCGTTGCCACAGCTGAGCCTCCCCCAAAAGGCGATGCATCAGTGCACACGAGTTCAGGATCAATGTGCGCCCGCAGTGACGTTCTGCACAAGGGCACGAGGCCAACCAGTGAAAGCACTTCGTCCACAACCGATGGGGTTCCGCCCACTGGTCCATTCCGCGCGAGCTCAATGAGTGGGAACAGGTCCTGGAAAACCGAAAAAAGAGGTCGCCGAAAGACTGCTCCAAACGTTCCCAGGCCGGCCCATCGTCTGAGGTTCCTCTCAGACCACGTGGGGCTCGCCAAAAGGCCCATTGAGGCCAAGATCAGCTTGCGGCTCTTCTCCAATCCTAGCGATAAAGTTCCTGACACTCCATCCAGGTGGCCTCCTTGGATGCCGGCCGACACTGCTCCCAGAAGAGATTTGGCGCTGTTGCTCCTGGCAAGCCGCCACAAAGGCCTTGTGGTTCGCGGAGGCCTTGCCCTGCAGAGCGGCTGCGCAAGCCTTGTTGACGACCCTGATCTCATCAAAGGAGTCAAGGTACAGCACTGCCATGTTCCCTTTGGGCATCTCTGTGATCTTGGTGAGCTCCATTGCACGAGGGACGCCTGCCTTGTTGAACACCAAATCTCTGAGAATGGCCTGCGTGACTGAGACTGCTGACTGCCAGCCCATGGGGATCACTCGCAGCGCTGGTCTAACCCACGCCTCTTCAGAGCCCAGCGCCCAGCCTGCCACTTTCTTCCCATATGAGAAAAACGGGGTCCAGGCATCTGGGAGCACAAAGAGATTGAAGGCTGAAGTGAGGTCCTCTGACTCCACCAGGATCTGGTCGCTGTCTTCCAAAAGTATCATGGATAATTGAGCCACGTAGGGTAGCATGTGTTCCTCGCCGGGGAGCGGCCACAAAAATTCATTAACCGGAATGAGGTTGGATATGAATCGCTGGACTTGCACCTGCTGACCGTCCTTCTCCTTCACCTTACCAACCGCTCCAGCCCCGTTGGTGATCAAGTGGCCGTGGCTGTCCCGCGGGACGTCCTCGTCACGAACGGCGACAAACATGCCTCGTTGATACCCTGCAAAGATGACTTTTTCCCATGCTGCATCACTTGCGTGCACTGTCCCCGTCGCGACTTCCTTGGCTGCTCACCCGGGGGCTTCCAAAACAGGTCAGGTTTCATGAGGGCTTCCTTCAGCTCGTTCCCCACAAAGTCAATTGCTTTGCACACAGCAGCCTGCCCGACCTCCGGCCAAGCGGCAATCACCAAATCGGGGTCTATTTCCCCAATCCGTTGGATGGGGGTGCCCCCATAGTCAAAGTCCTTGGCTTCTAGAATTCGGCGAGCTTCTCCCAAGTCACCCAAGGCCGCATCATCTTCCCCGCAGGGAGCAATCAACCCAGCCACGTCCCGGATTGCAGCCTCCTGACGCCTGCTGATTGCGGATGGGATCGGTAGACACACTGGGCGTGTCCAACCGCAGCAGTACTGGAAGTTGAGGATGGAAAAAGCCCACTCCACCAAAGGAAGCACTCTCTCATTTAACTGCGGCTGCAGCTTCTTGATGGCACCCACATTGAGCGGCAGCAAGTCACCCCCCTGAGCGTAGGTTGGCCTTGTGGCCTGAGAGGCAGCACCCTGGGTAGACGCTTCCCTGAGAAACTTGCCAAGGGGGGTGCTGAGCTGCGGGACGTTGTCCATGAGCCATCAGGCCACCTCTGGCCACGTGTGGGAATCTTTTAGGAACTCGCGAGCTTTGAGGGACCAATCATCCAGCGGCAATCCTCCAATGGACTGGCTCCAGTATTGGTCCTCACCTTCGCTCCACCCCAGTGCCCACTGAGCATCCTCCTCCAAGATCTCCGGCTCAAGGCAGGTGTCTTCATCCTCCTCCGCATACTCGGATTCCTCAGCTTCCTCGCTGCCCAGAGAATGGCTCTCTGCGCTTCCCCAATCTGGCACCTCATACTCTTCCGAGGTAGGCCATTCCTCACCCGCAGGTGGGCCCACGGCACAATTTGCTCTGGCTACTTCTTTCCTTTTTTGCCCTTTTGACCTTTTCCTTTTCCTTTCCCCTTCTCGTCGGCATCCTTCCGCAACGCTTCCTCCTGTGGCTTCTGCCAGGTTGCCGGCCAACTCTTTCCGGCAGCCTTCAACTTGCTGTCCAGCAGGTGCTGCTTCGACACCATGGCCGTCTCGTCGGTCTCCATGAGGGTGGCCCCCTCTTGGGGCAGGAGCTCCAGGAATTGCGCCCTGTGCCAGCCGCTGTCTACCAGGCTCAACTCGAGCGCTTTGATTCGCTGAGCGATGAGGTCTGCTGCTTCCCGGCGTCGATCGCTCACCAGGCGGTCGAGCACTAAGGCCAATGTTTTGAGCTCCCTGAGAGTCCGCATCGGGACAGCTCCCCGATGCTCCGGAAGGAAAACTGTGATCAGGTAGTTGCTGGCTACCGGGGGAACTGGGTCCTTGACTGTTGAAGTCATGCCCGCCCCTTCCCCCTTGAATACCAAGGACTGCATTCGCAGCAAGAGGCGGCTCGCCAATCGCCCCGGGTACTTTTGACTGTACTCGAGGAGTTGCATGTGCCTGTCCTTGCTGCTGGAGGTCGGGGCGTCTCGAAAAGACTGATCAGATTCTGAGCCTGAAGAACTTTCCACTGCAATGCCATAGTCGCGCTGTTCCCCAGCACCAAAGGGTCCTCTGTCCAGCTTCTGCTTCTTCTTCCTCGTCTTTTTCTTGCTCTGGTGGGCCTTGGCATCCCTTGTCTCTGGCCCAGCCGCATGAACCTCGTCCGCAGACGGCGTAGCCATGCCAGAGTCTTCTCCAGACTCCTCATCCACGGCGCACCACTTCTCTCTTTTACGCCTTATTGCCTCGTCAGGCCCCTTATCCGGGTTCGGCTTCGCCTTTTTTCTCTTCTTTGCCTTCCCCGCAGGGAGCTCTCCCGCAGGAGGTGGGTCAAGGTCAAGACCTTTTTGACCCCGGCGACGTTTCGCCTTTTCGCCCTCAGGAAGGCTGGAAGAAAGCTCCTGGAGCTCCTTCCGCAACCCAGCGGGGGCTGCCCCCAGTTCTGGGTCTTCTTTTTCCCACTCTGGACATGCCTCCGGCACCCCTTGATGCCTGGGCACGCCGGCATCACGCTGAGGCCGCTCACCAGGCGGCTGGGACAGGTTCTTGATCTCGAACTCCAAGTCTCTGGTAGCCACTTCGCCTTGCAACCAAGCCGGACGCTTTGCAGTGAGATCTCCTGTCTGCAACAGGCGCACACGTTCTATGTGGAATTCCCACAGCCTATTCTCTTTGACAGCCGCGCAGTCACCACAACGCCCAGAGCAGACATGGAAATCGTACAGCCGCTGCGAAGTGTAGCCCGGACCCTGGTCCACCCACCATTGAAGGTAGGAGTCGGACTCCGCCACCAGATATCCGGTGAACCACTGCCCGGCTCTATTTTTGGAGAACCTCTCCACCATCCTGATCACTACAGACCCCTGCCGGTCAAAGTCCTCGTCGAACACCTCCACCTCGTAGTACTCGCCCGCAGGCGGATCCCAAACTTCCCACTGGTCGGGATCTTCCCTCAGGTTCACCCATGGGCCCGGCATGGGGCCGGCCCGCCCTCAAAGGGCTCGAAGTCTTCTCGCCGGTCGAGTGCTATGGCAGGAGTAAACACGAGGGATCTACGCAAACAGTTGGCATGAACTTGAAACAGCTTACGTAGGACGCGGGCGTGAAAATGCCGTCATGCTGCACACTGCACGCAGGGTTCGCAAGACTGGGGCCAATATAATATATAATACATACCTGTCATATATATATATATATATACATAAATGTATGGTGTTTAAAGTACCCTGCGACCCCGATCTCACTATTCAGGCCTTTACATTCTTTACATTACATGCATCAGCTTGACTTAACATGACTTAACCAACTGTCCTCTGCTTCGCGAAGCACGCAAATACCTGAAGCTGCCTCGGATACCAGAACACAAGCTCAAGACAATACAGTGTTGTGTAGATTACCGTAGATTGCACAACTATTGAGTTACAGTACCTTTGAGACAGCGCACCCGCACACTGACATGGAGGCATGGCATGCAAAGCCTGGCGAAACAAACTTTGACGACGCCATGTCTAGCAACACGTTCTGACAATGAGACAATTTGCACCTTGATCAGCTTCATGTTCACCTGCAATTGCTCTTTGCATTTTGTTTGCGATGCTCGCCTTTGAATCTGTTGGAGAGTGATTTGTACGTTGGCAGGAACTCGTCTGCAAAATGTGTTTCCCTTCGCCAGGCAATTCGTGTGTTGAGGTTCGAGTACTTCCCGGGCATGTGAGTTTGTCCCTGTCTTGGTCAGGAGTGCTGTCTGCCCGGTTGAAATTCGTCAAGCAAAATTTGCTTCGCTTCGTGCTGCATGTGTGCATCCAAAGCTGCCCCAAGTTCGCGATGCACACTTGCTCTTGTCAAGCACGAATACATAATTGGATTGTCACGTCAACCAACATACACTAGGAACCAACCCCTTGTGCCCTTTGGCGGTGTTGCCAAGCAAGCACCATCTGTGTGTACGGGGCCCCAAGCTCAAGAGGAACAAACAGATATCTTACACACGTGCATTTATGTGTACATAAATACGGACGGCACTAGTAGTGCAACTGTGGCTAGGAACATGTGCATACATCTAAACAGGCTTGTTGCAATCTCCAACAACACCTGCAAGTTGCCCGAATGAATTGCACACGTGCGGGACATCTTGAAACTGCATCGTCTGTGTTGCAAAATCATAAGCAGCATAAATATTGTAAAGGCGTGTTGGACAAGCGAATACCTTTGACCTTGGGTCATTGGGCTACGTCGCGCTTTTGAATTTCGAGTCACACGCGTACACACACACACACACACACACGCACAGTTGTTGCAGGCTCTGCTCTTGTATTGAGCATGATTGCTACTGTGGGAGGACGTCCCCCCGTGATGCACTCTATCTAATCGCCGGTGTCAGAAGAAGGCGTTTGCACATGGCAACTGTTTCCAGCGACTCTCTCTAAACCACCAGCCAGGTTCAAACAAGCCATCTGAAGACGAGCAATACTATAAAATGTGTCCGATTGGGCTCCTTTGAAGGCCACCCCAAAACTGGGGTCCTGTGCGTTTCTACATATATCCTGACATGGCTGAGAGCTCCTCTATGCCGTTTATGGTCATAGTTCCCTTAACACAAGCGCCTATCATGGTTGTCTAGGTTCCCGTTGTGTAGGGTCCGTGACCATCCCTACCACCTCAATCATGCGGCCAAAGGGTGACGAAGTTCAAACTGCCAAAGCAGGGGCAAGCCCCCCCTCCTGTCCGTGGCACATCCCGTCCCTGCCTCTGTATGGTGGAGCAGCTCCTGCAGCGCCTGGCAAGCTGAGGATGGCTGGTACCCAAGAACGCTCAGCTGGAAAAGACGTTGCTGATGCTTCACTGGGCTCGGATCACTGTTTGCACAACAAGAATAGTCTCAATATTGCAAACGCTGTGCGTTTGAAGCGCCCAAGCAACATGAACAGAACCAAAGGGCATCAAGCACATTCAACGAATTCATGCCACAAAAACAGCAACGCATCGTGTTCCATGCCCTGAAATAGGTGAAATTCGCCGAGTGATTCACGGGGGCACACCGTTGCCACCAGAGATCCAAATTGAGCAGCACCCACAACCCATTGACTGTGGGTCCTACCAGGATGGTTCAGGCCTTGACTACCCTAAGAAAGGAGGGAGTAGAACCTGCTCGAACATTTACCAAGGGGGACCTTGGGAGATGAGTGAAGGGCCAGCCCAAAAATATGGTTTCTGTTTGTTTTACTCGACAAGTGGCTGGTTTGCTGCTGATTCTGCGTATTCAGATGCTTCTTAACGACACTCCCACACGTATCGATGTTCTCGTTGTTTTTTTCGTGAACCCACCAACTGATAGGGACGCGCAGAGAGGGAGTCGGAAGACTATAATCATCTAAAAAAGGCCACCCGTCTACTTCCATGTGTTTTTTTTTTTTTTTTTTTTTTTTTCGCAAAAAGGTTAGCATCCTTTCCAGGCCTGGGGCCTCAGTTGCCCTTGCAGAAAGGGGAGCTCTTTTGGGGCGTACCATTTTTGTGGGTGCAAAAAACACCAAGCAAAAAGGGAAAAAGGGTGGACTGCACTGAACACCTGGCTATCTAAAACAACCTCACTCCCCTGCGAATTACCATGGCATCCAAAAGGGGCGTCTGCTTCCCCGAAGGCTCCAAGGTGGTGGGTAGCTTTCTCGGGGCGTGTGTGTTCTGCCGAGTACACGCAGACCGGCGCCAACGGGCTTTCACACACGCCAGGGGCAAAAATCACCAGCTCCCGCAAGAGGATATGGAAAATCTATGGGCCAGAAGTTGATGTTTGAAACCAGAAAGGGAAATGCAATGCCTAGAACCCCTGCCAAATAGACCATGGACAATCGGAAAGCTCGACCAACCCTAGATTCTGCAAAACCGATCCTCGCGGCCGCAGGTGAAGCCCATCTCCTCCAACAGCGCCACGGCGCTGTCGCCGACTGGAGCGGTAGGCAGGGAGCTGCTCACCGGATGAAAACAAGAGAGAGAAATGAGCCACCAAACAAAAAGATTGGTAGTCAAAGAGAAAGCCTGGTAATTCATGAAGAAGCACAAAGATTGAACGGAAGGGCCCCACGAACAACAACAAAAACTGAAAGGCAACTCAGAACCAACACCCAAATGCTCAGTGATCCAGGTAGATAAGGGAACTCGCTCTAAGCTTCATCAGGTTGTCGTGGGAAAGCCACCCAACAAAAAGGTAAGCAAGATGCTAGTGAAAAACTGAAAACATAGGGGCCCCTTTCAGTCAGCTTGGTTGAGTTAATAGATGGTCCGCTTTCAATGTGATCCCAATATTTTCCCAAAGCCTTCTACTTTTCCAAAAGGGCACCTAGGATTGGCATGCACTCTACCATGCACAAACAAACCAACCTGGCACCGACAGTCAGGCTCTTGCGCCTGGGGCTGGCTGTTTCTCCTTCTCCTTGGGCAGGGCATCACAGCCTCGGACCAATTCAGATCAACGCCACGGATGCATTTGAGCCTTTTGCACACGGAGACTGTTGACCTACCAAAGAAAGGCCTTGAAGCCCAGATGCTCCAAAACGTCTTTGACACCGGCTGCAGGTGATATGTTCACTACACAAAGAAGCATATTGATTTGCACAGCCAGTAAACGAGGACTTGTCTCTTGAAGCAAGCACATTGAACATAAACAAGCATTCAGACCTACCCAGTTTGAGTTGGAATCAGGATGCACGTCGCCACCTTAAATCGCAGCAAACACAGTCCTAGCGCACTGGTTGCCACCGACAAATGGGAACACGCCGAAACCATTGGACTTGCCTCGGCTGATGTCTGTTTTGATGCATACCCAAATGAGCCATGTTCCGCTTCTGTGAATATGTTCAAAAGGCAAACACTTAATTAGAGGGGTCAAAAGGCCTTTGACACAAACGCCACAATTCGTGTTTGTGTTCGGTTGTGTGTGCATGGCATGGCTCGGGCTTTAGAAATCGATGTTAGACGAAGGGAGGGCTGTAGAACGCTTTCGGAAATGAACCAGGAGGGTCTGATTTCAATCAACACACACACACACACGCACATGAGGCCAACTTGTGTTTTGCCTTTATTTCCCACCGAACAGAGAAATTCGATTGGGGGCTTCCTGAAATAGAACGCTACAAATGGTTGCTGCTTCCTTCGGCTGATCATAAACCATCCCGAAGGGGCCCGTGTTTTTTCAATTCTCACACCCAAACTGGTCGTTGTTTCAAAAGCGTCTGTTCGTTGCACCTGGGTTTAGTTGGAAATCATCGTCTGCACTTTCCACCAAGAATTGGAACCTGGGAATGGGAATCCTCCTTTATGTGCACATATCATCCCGTCCAATCACCAAACCCTAATTGTTCAGGGCTTTGAAGCACTCAAAGTGGGGAACCCACTTCGAATTACTTTGATTCACACGGGGCCTTCATCATGTGAGCTCGTTTGTTAGCCCGCGAGCTCACTACCTACCCCTCCAGGCCGTTGCTCTCCTTATGCCCTTTTCAACCTATCCAACAGCGTCCCTATGGACTGACAGAATCCTGCACCAGCTGGGATGGATGACAGACCACCCCACTGGTGCAGCATCTTGTCCATCCGCAGACCTCCATCCGCGCTCTCTGCTGGGCCAATCGATCCAGCCGAAGCGCGCCGCAGGTGCAGCAGCAGCTGTCGCATGGAGTCCCCAAAGAGTTGGCCGCAGCGGTGGCAAGCCAGCGCCTAGTGCAACATGGGCGGGAGGTGTTGGGTGTGCGTCGAAGTTAGGGGCCCAAAACATGGATTTCGCCTTTGCTTTAGGAATATGCGGGAGGTATCTGGGCTTTCCGACCCATGCACCCAAGGGGTTGAAAGCGGCGTCAAAGGAACAGGTCGGTTTCTCCAAATAGCGGACCCCTTTGTTTGGTATTTCAAGGGATACACAAAGAGAAGGCCCTACTTTGAGAAACAGCCGTTTGGTTGAAGCGAAAAAGTCGGGATCCGCGCCTCCGTGTCGGGTTTCCCTGACGCCGGCAAAGGCGATCTGGTGGCCAGCATCTCGGCCAAGGCGCCAGGGGAGAGGAAGCGGTCGCTGCCTGGACGGCAGCGAAAGTTTGGCTGAAACACCAAGGCAATGAAAGCTTTCAAAGGGGGAACCAGAATGGGAATCTCGATTGGTTGGTTGGTTGGTTGGTTGGTTGGTTGGTTGGTTGGTTGGTTGGTTGGTTGGTTGGTTGGTTGGTTGGTTGGTTGGTTGGTTGGTTGGTTGGTTGGTTGGTTGGTTGGTTGGTTGGTTGGTTGGTTGGTTGGTTGGTTGGTTGGTTGGTTGGTTGGTTGGTTGGTTGGTTGGTTGGTTGGTTGGTTGGTTGGTTGGTTGGTTGGTTGGTTGGTTGGTTGGTTGGTTGGTTGGTTGGTTGGTTGGTTGGTTGGTTGGTTGGTTGGTTGGTTGGTTGGTTGGTTGCGCACTAATGAGAACATGCATGCAACACTGGTTCAACATGTTTCAATGGCTAAACATGTGGTTGGCCCCACCCTACTGCCAGACAAATAAACCGCTTCCGGTGGCCATGGACTAGCGGAGCCTGAGCCACCCGAAAAATGAGCAGTCGACTTGTCGTCAAGCTATAAGCTGAGAAGTTGGCTCTTGGCCCAAAGGTCATGGGACTGGAGGCACGTTTCCGCAGAGACCTTCCAGTGGCATCCATGTTGGCTGATCCTCAAGAGGAATCGACAAACAGAAAACAAGGATAATGATGGGCAAAGGAAACCCGAGCAGAGTTCCAATCCGATTGAGGTTCCCAAAAGCTCCCCCTGCGGAGAACACCAAGGTTATGTCAATGAACCTGAGCTTCCTTGCAAAACATCCTGTAACGTCCAAAAGGGCAAAAGCCGTCACTCCGCATATCATATCTCGATAGGAGTGTCCGGCCGAATCTGTCCGGCACCGACTACCGGCCCTCGGTTCTTCAAAATGAGGCGGGTCCCTTGTAAACTACTTCACCAGGACAAAATTTGCAAAACCAAGTTGCAAATTAGATACGAAAATCACCCCGTTCAAGGAAAGACAAGGACCCTCTAGAAGTATAAGGCCGGTGAGATGGGAGTCCTGATATTGCCACACGCCACACTCACATTTTGCTTGTGGCTCGGTGACGGCAGCTCGACTTCCGGCCATTCATAGCAGATTGGGCTATTAAGAATGGGGTTCCATTGGTTTAGCAGAAATGCACGGAGAACCTGGCCACAAGTCTTTGGCCTCTCGCTGTGAGGGTTTCTATACTTCAGGGGTGCATTGATTTTCTGCCACGTTTTCAACTAGCTTCCTAGTGGGGAACGTGGGAATAGCACCCGCTAACCATTCCACAGGATGCATGGATGGTTGGGACACCGGCGGCGGCAGTCATTCCCATATTCCCTACTGAGAACAAGCAACACGTGATAACACGCGGGTCAAAAGGTGATTCCTCAGCAGGCGTCGAAGCTGGATTTCCCGTAGGCGAAGAGCTCATTCAATCTTCTGGACTCCAGTTCAACCCTTTCCGGTCCAGTTCAAGGAAATCTTTGAAACTCCCCCTTGGGGCACGCCGCAAAACGGGTTGCAAAACGCGTGAACGTCGGACTTCCCGCCGCGCCCGCCCACCCAACGGGCGAAGCGAGCGCCTGTGAAGTCCCGGAAGTGGCGGCGCGTGAGATCCGTGGGGTCCGGGGCCCGAAGGTCCCAACTCAGCAGCTGTGCCGCGGCCTACGCGCTGAAGTGGCTGTGGTCAAAACCGTTTTGGATCCCATTTTGGGGTAGGTACACCACCCATTTCAGTCTATTTTCCAATGGTACCATTTTGGGGTAGGTGAATTCAGCGCCCATTTTAGGCTTCCTATTTGCGTGGTTGGATTGGTTGATGTTCACTGCGGGTACGATTGGGATTTTGACCCATGGCCAAGTGGATTTTATGGACTCCCGGCTGGTTTCCCTTTCAAACCCGAAAAGGGTACCCTCAACAAAGACACACACGCCACATGCACCAAAATACAGATATGACACATTCTTCACATGTTGCCCTCTGTTTTGTCGTATTCATCTCCCGTTCACCTTTCTGCGTGTTGAGGTTTTTAGGAGCAGCCCTGTTGATGTCCTCTCCATGGATTGATCTTTCCCATTGATGGCTCACCTTTCTGCGTGTTGAGGCTTTTCGGAGCAGCCCTCTTGATGTCCTCTCCATGGATTGATAGTTCCCGTTGATGGCTCACCATTTGCAGGTGTATATCCACAATATTCATGTTCAAGCTGACCTGTAATGTGGGTATAATCATCGTGTGACATTTACTTGCGGAACGTCGTAAGCACATGAGAAATGCATGGGAAACTGTGTCCACCACACAGTTGTGAGAGTGTGAATTCTCTTTTCGTGATCGAATCTGCCCTGGGCGCGCTGTGGCAGCTGGGGACCCTCTCCCGACGCCATGGGCATCTTGCAGCTTGCCGCTACTGGCGCTATTTGAACAGTTCAACATTGCTTGTGTTTTGGTCCTCATGTCTTGTTTGTGTCTTCTTGTTTGTTCAATTGTGTGTTTGTTTGTTTGCTTGCTTGCTCGCTTGATTGTTTCTCTGCCTGTCTGTGTCTTTGTCCCTGTCCCTGTCTCAGTCTCCTTCTCTGTCTTTGCATGTCATTGCATGTCTGCCGAGGGTACCTTTTTCAGGTTGGTTCAACCGGAAAACAAAAAGAAAACCGCAATTTTCAAGAGTCCAAATCTCTTCTCGCCGGTGCCCCGTGCCTGGCTGGGCTGCGCGAGCTTCCGCAGTGGCAAACCCACCTCACGACATCAGACATTCGCTCCCACTGCCAGAATGTTCCCCCCCAAACTCGCTGGTTCTCAGTAAGGAATCAACAGAGGTGTCTACAAGGTTCCAGAACAAGAAGGATCATTCCCTTCCCTGACCAGCACAAAAAGCTTGGGGGGGGGCCTCCTCACCTGCCCGGCCTGGCAGCCGGCGGGCACCTGCAGGTGGGCGGCCAGCAGGCGACCATAGAGTTGCAGCCGCCGCAGAGGACCGCACACAGCGCCTCGGCTTGGGCTCGTCCAACCGAAGGCGCCCAACCGAACCAGGTCCATAAAGAAAGACCTTCTTTCTCGACCCCCATGATCACTTTTCGCTGCTCGAACATGGAAATCCGGGAAGTACTTGGCTGAAAGAACTGTCCCTTGTTTGATTTATGGTGGTTCATTCCAGACTTCGACCCCTTCAAAGAGTGACAACTTTTTGCTCGGTCAAGGGGAAACGGACTGAAAAAAGCAAAAAGCTGAGAAAAGGCAAGCTATGTCTGGCAAGGATGCCTGAGGTCAGATCAGGATACCGCAGCGGCCGCTTGAAGCTGAGTGCCTGAGGCATGGGGCCATCCCGTGGCGCGCGACCGGGAGACAAGGGCAATGGATTAAAATGGCCCCATAAAAAGGCGCTTATACCTGCACGGCGAGTTTAAGTTCAATGGTGCGTGCGTGCGTGGGTGTTTGCGGGTGTGGGGGTTTGGGTGTGTGGGTGTGGGGGTGTGGGGGTTTGGGGGTGTGGGGATGAGTGGGTGGGTGGGTGGGCGGGAGTGGGAGTGAGAGTGGGAGTGGGAGTGGGAATGTGGGTGGGCGGGCGGGCGGGTGTGTAATGTTTGTGTTTGTGTTTGTGCCTGTGTCTGAGTTTGTGTGTGTTTGTGTTTGTGTGTTGTTGGAAAGTACCCCTTTCAGGTTGAACGGTAACCAGAAGGAAGACAACGCATGAAAACGGTGTATGTGTCAAACTAGGTGACTCCTTTGGGATTCCCTTTCAGCCAAGGTGAAGAGGGTACCCTCAACAACGACACATACGTACACACACCCACACCGAGGAACTTTCCCAAGTACTGCAGGTCTCTTCCAAGGCGCCAAGTGGATTGAGCTCTTGGGCCTCGCCACATAGAGAGCCACGAACTCGCTGGTCTGGTGGTAGACCATCTGGGAGATCCGGCCCTTGCCCTTGCTCTTCCGCTGGATCCCAGATAGGTTCTGGATCCTCAGAGAAAGCTCCGGAAAGCAAATGTCCAGTCAAAATGTGCGGTTACAGTTGGGAAAAGGTAGATGGCAATCCCTCTATGAAGGTATAGCGATCGTCTTTGCTTATCCACATAGGGAACTGCAATTACCATCTACCATTACCCTGGTGCAATTTCCTGGACATGGAGAAGTTAGCGAGTTCCCATGTTGGGCCCACATGTCCCTCCAAAATTGACCATAGACTACTGGATTCTTTGACCGAACTGGGCCAACGCAGTTGGGGGACACAAGGGCGTAGGCGGACTTTGTCCGAGGAAGTTTGATGACACCAAAGCTGGGTGGGACAAATGGTGGCAGGATGGCCCTTAATCGCAAGCGGGACTATCACACGTGACAAGAAAAGGATGACATCAGGGCAGCCGACATCCTGCTAAAGACAGGCCACACACACACGCCCAGTTCAATGGCCTGGGTCATGGAGTTCGCAACCGCGTGGCCGTGGTGTGAGGTCCCGGTCATGTGTCAGTACATTCACTGTTGGACTGCCGGTGAATAGTTGGATTCTAGACTTGGTGGAGTAAGACATCCATCCTCCCACCACTAGCATGTTCATTGGATACATGAACAAATACGAGCTTTCCATTGGCTCGAGCTGAGTGCAGACGGAAGAAAGGCCCTACCCACAGCCGCAAGGGGTCACCCGCTAAGATCAATCTTCTTAACGGCCAAAACAGTCCATAAAATGGTTTTACTGCCTCTAGACGCACTCACCTGCACTGCAAGTATTCGGTGACCATGACAGCACGAAGACACATTAAGCAAGCAACAAATTAGCGACTCACCAACTGGGTTCAGCATGTCTGTGAGCAAAGGCATTGATGTTTGCTTACCGACATGGTAAGACCGGGGCCCGGCTTTGTGGCTCTTGTGGCTCCTTTGGGTGGTCTCCTCTCGTTCCCAAATCCACAGAAGGCTACCAATAATTGGAATCCCTAACCCGCAATCCGTAGTGGGATACCACCAAAGCCAGGGAAAGCATAACCATGTGGAATTTCTGGGTTCCGAAAGATATTGATCAACACAAACTTCATTCCAAGCCCCGAAATGCATCTCTTCGATTCGAGGCACACTTCCCAAATCCAGTCACCCCCGTCAGGCACCTGTGCGGGGCGAAAAGTCGCTCGCGACTCAAGCAAATGGGGTTGTATCCAAAAAGGATAACCCACAAATGGATGGCTGCCCTCTGGTCTCTGTTAACACAATCCCGAAAAGTGTGCCAAAATATCCGTACCCAAAGAACAATTGCGCTACAAGCATGGGGGGGTCCACCCAAAATCATATGAGGAATAGAAAGGGCGGCTGAACAAACTATAGTTGGGTGTCCCCTACTAACCTTTGTCCAGCCGGTTCTTGATTGTGGCCAACAAGCGGAATCGCATTGAACCACGAGCAACAAGTTGACTCCACCAGTCTTTTCAGTTGAATCGGTCCAACCTCCGAGGTATTGGGTGTTACTTCAATCGCGGCATACCCTCCCATGCCTCGGCATGACATAGACCCCCGGTCGGGTGGCCAGTTGTTCCACCCACCAAATGGGTGTGTTAAAAGGGGGGTCAAACTAATGGGTGGTTGCCCTTTGGTTTCACTTTAAAACAACCCCACAAAGGTTACCCTTGAAAACGCAGACACCCCGCATGTCAGCTACTCGCACCGGAAGCCAACCTTTTGGCCTCAGACCATCTGAAGAGGCACATTTCCCCACAAAGGAACATCTGCGCTCAGAGAACTCTAAAGACATGTGGGTTGTGTTTTTGTGGATATCGCTTCTGGGGTTGGTTTAAAGAAACAAAACAAAGGAAGCCAATCGCTTTGGGAAAAGTCTCCTGTTTTGAGACACACACACACACACACGCACGTACACACACCCATTGGCTAGGGTCAGACTTTGTATGGTGCCTAGAAAGGATGCTGCCCAGCTTTTTCGGCTCAAGTTGTGCCTCGGGTTTCTATCATTGCGGGTCTACCCACAAAAAGAAAACTCACCTAAAGTTGGTCCAATAAGTAATGTTGAAAGTTTAAAGTCTATTCTCTGATGCGCAAAAGACATCTAGGACCCAGGACCCTTGTAAAATGAACTTCCCTGGAGCCATTCCCTGCAAATGCAAAGCAAAACACCTCCCCTTGGAACCCTTCAGCCCACCCCAAGCGCTCCGGCCTCCACCTCAAGATGCGTCGGTGGTGAGTAGGGCCCCGCAGGCGACCGCGCCACCTGAAACCACGATGGGCGAAATCCAATTCACACCAGTCGGGATGGATGAAAAACAGAAATACTGGTATCGTGGTAACCTCCCCAAAAAAAAATGGAGATCCCCGAAGTAAGGCGTATGGGACTGGTTCCCAAACACAATATTGAGGCATGAGGGGATCCTTAGCGGGTTCTCGGAGAAGGGTAGCAAAATTGGGGTTGCAAGACTGGCACAGATTTGGTTTTCAAGCAGCCAACCAGTACAGGCAAACAGTGGCATTGACAATGATAAGATACCTGGACCTTCCACCCATGTGAAACTACTGCCACTTTGGTCACTGAGATCGCTGATTGGCGACGGCAAAAACGTTCGCCGCAACTGCAGCTCGCAGCCAGCCAAGCTGTTGCATCATGTTTCGTGCCGTGTGGCTGTGAATCAAAGGAGTGTGCCAACACAAAAGCGCTTGCGGGCGAATACTTTCGCATATCGTCTATAAAGCACTTTGAGTCCGCGCAGCTGTGATCTACGCATAAAGACCCAGGTGCGAACAACACAGCGCACTTGCGGGAGCGATTCCTTTCCACTATGCATTGGCAAAAACACACAATGCAGAAAACTACCACAATTATACATAATACTGTACGCCCAAATCAATTTACACACGTGTAAAACTGTTAAACGTATTACATATGCCTATACGCATATCTATTTGTTTATGTATTGCACAAGTGACATGAAGAGCATTTGGGTGGTGAGCTGCGCGCCAATCCAATTTTGCTTAGGCTGAGCACCTCGACTTCACGCAATTTCTCCTCTGACCCCGCAGTGTTCTGTTTCAAGGCCTTGATGTTCGCCCAAAACGTTCTGGGGGCCTGGCTAAACCAAAGGAACGCACGAGCTTATGAACTGCTACCACCTGCGGTCGATGGATTGAGTATACCTTATTGGGATTGGACAGGGAACCCACAGGGAAAACAGTGGGGTCCCCGTTCCGTTGAGCTCCCTTTGAACCTCAACCATGGGTTCCCGTCGGGGGCGTAAAATTGATAAACCTCTGGTTGACTACAGGTAGTCCTCTCAATTGGCCCTGCTCGGAAGCCTCTGCTATCAGCTCCGCAAAGCCGCTGCCGCTCTCTGCGAGGGCACTCAGCTCCGCCCGCTCGCCGCGCTCACCGGAGCTCTCGTCCGGCTCGGCCTTGGCAATGAGGAACTCAGGGCATCTCAGGGCGCTCCAAAAAAACCTGGAACCCCACGCAAGAGTTGCTTTCTGGGATCCATGTGTTTTTGATTCTTGTCGCTTGGACAGCAGGCATCGCTGTCCGGTGGTTGTTGATCCTTGGGATAATCCAAACGCGCGTGTTGCGCGTACATAAGAAATCATGCGTCCGTCGTGCTATCTAGCTTCTAATGTCGCGCTGGCTTGACAGTTGCAAAACGCTGTACGCCATGGTCAAAAATCCTTTTTCTCAGCGCCGTCGGGCCGGCGCGGCTCGTTAATGCTCTTTGAAGAGCAACTTCATCGCGTACGCGGCCCTTCAAACAAGCGAAAACCAGGGCAACCACGCCACCAGGAGTAGCGCCGCCATCAGGCACTGCGCGCCGCTCCATGAGATCCAAGCAGATATCACCCTCACACTGCTCAACCGGCGGCCCTGCTGCTGTGGCTCAAAGACCTGACTTAGAACCACGTGTGTTGCAACTCCACAAGCCTGGCTCTTTAGTGCTCGTGCGGCACTCAACTGGGAACCCGGCCATAGCATGCACTTTCATACCGCTGGCTGTTAGCGAGTCTTGAAGCCAGCTGGCGTGAGATACCATCATGGAGGGCGCCGGCTCCAAAGACAAAGCTCGCCAAACCTGCTGCAAGGTCTGAATGGCACACTGCAGCATGGGGCACCGCCAATGGCTGATTCCGCATCAAGGGGCTCACAAATGGCTCACAAATGGCTGTGTCCATTTCTGAGCAAACACCTGCGCGCCACAGCTCAACGCTCCCAAGCCCGTCCACCACCTTCTGAATCTGTTGTGGGTTGCGCAATTGGACCCCACGCGCTGCGCTATGCTCTCGCCATGCGAGGCGCAAGCATTCTCCACCAGCTCCCAGACGATGAGCGATCCCACCTCCAACTACTTCCCGAGGACATTGACAAGCTACCCAGGACCCAGCTCCATGACCGTGTCACAACCGAGCGCTTGCAGCCCCCCACCATTCCTGGGAGGGCTAGCCAAATATCCTTCTCTGTGTCATGGTCTTCAGTCGCATGTCAAGCGAGTTTGAGGGCACTTTGGCCTGATCGAGATCTCCGACAGAGGGTGAGCACCCAGACACCTTATCAAGCAGCGCATTCAAAGTAAGAATAACAATAAGGTCGCATTGATCAATAGCAGCATGCAGCTGACTCAATTGTAATTGTTCATCATTGTCAAGGTTCCTTTATTTTGTGGGTGCTAGTGGACCTAAGAGGTTGTCGACGTAGCGCTGGACAACCGCGGCTTTCCACCAAGCCGAATAGAACGTATGTTTCGGGCATGAAGAACGACAACTTCTGGCAGCAAGTGCCGAGAACGCAAGCCCTGCCTCGGTTTCCAGCTCCAGGTCGAAGCAGGGCGACGCCTCGCCGCTGGGCAGATACCCCAGCCGCTCCTCGTGGTCATCAAGGGAAAAACTCTGCACCGTGTCAGAACACAAGGGACTTCCAACCCCCGCGCAACAAACACATGATATTTCAATCTAGGTTCTTTACTATGTGAATCTGCGGGTTCCGAATGTGAAGGAAACCAGCTCGCTCATGTCTTGTCTTTTTGGGGGGCCGCTGCTGGAGGCAAAAGCTGAAGCCTTGCTTGTTGCCTCGCAGTGACCCTCCCAAGGCATCCCAAGCTAAACTTGAGACCCCAAACATGTTGCAAGGCAATAAGGATAACCTCCCTGCTCTGAGCCTCTTTCAACCTGTTGCAGCTGGTGTGCGCGCAACATGGGACAACTGGTGGCTTGTTTACTTGTTTGTTTGTTTGTTTGTTTGGCTGGCCTGCTTGATTGGCTGGCTGGCTGGTTGGCCGTTGGTTGGTTGGCTGTGTGGGTTGTGGGTGAACGAGGGAGAGTGAGGGAGAGTGAGTGAGAGTGAGTGAGAGTGAGTGAGAGTGAGTGAGAGTGAGTGAGAGTGAGTGAGAGTGAGTGAGTGAAAGTGAGTGAGAGTGAGTGAGAGTGAGTGAGTGGGTGGGTCGGTCGTTGGTGTTTGCAGGGAATCAACATTTCTAAATGCAGACACCCCACCTGGCTTGTCCAAAGGCCATGGACACATCAGATTGACCTTTGCCATGACCAAACGTGGACTCAAGCAGGAATCCTGAAGATGGAAGCAACTGGGAAAGTGTGGCAAGTTCTGAGAGGTTAAGAGACGGGCTTCAAAGAATTGAGACCCTCCACGAGGCCCATGTTTGGCAAGATCCCAATCCGGCCCAAGGACGTTGCATGTACTTCTGACCGCACATGGGTGTTTCAAAGAATAAGTTGGACCCCTCCAGGTGGCTTCTCGGGTTCCTTTTGCTTGACCTTTTAAAACCGTTCAACATGAGATGCAGCCGAACTTGAGACATACCCATACTCGGGTGCTTCCTAAACTGCAGACTCCCGCACAATGCTTGCCTTTGCTTTCCTTGAAAAAGCAAACAAGCGATCCCCCATTTGAGACAAGCAAGCCAATAGCAAGAATCCGTTTGATGGCTGTTTCAACTCCTCGCTAAGCAGTCCTTGAGCATCCTTACCAACCCCAAGCAAACAGGAATTTTGAGGTTGACCATTGTTGTGGGGAAGCCACCAAACAAAAAAACGAGAAAAGACAGGTCGAAACCACTGAACATCGGGGACCTGATTTGGATTCCTTCTTTAAACCATATGAACCTTGGGTTTTCCCTATAGGGCAACCGTCCATTCATGTCAGAGAGACTGCTGCGGCTGACCAAAACTATGCCTCGCTTTGGGCCCGTTTCGGTGCGCTGGTCCGAAAACACGCCACTGGACCAGGCTTCCAGCTCGCTCAAAAGCGGCTGCTCGTTCTGCAGCACTTCTCGAGACCCATTTCGCCGGCTGACCAGCGAGATGCCGCCAATGCCTCGCCAGCTGCGAGCGTTCGACAATGTGTCTGCCTCAAGTTGGGCTCAACCACTTTGGGATGGATTCAAAGGGACACCGAGGAACGATTTGCCTAGGTGTTGTCTCCAACAGCAGCTCCCGGAACCCTTCCGGAACCCTGGCCCGGACCGCTCTGAACCACTCCGCCTATCTGGGCAAAAAAACAAAACGTTCAGCTGTGGGAGAAAAAAGCAACCTTGAGTGCCCCCTCAACATGGGTTGAGCCTCTTCCCAATTGCCCAGCCACCGAAAAGGTAGAAAAAGGAAGCCCTTGGTATCGACCTTTTTAGTGGGGAACGCACTAAAGAAAAAGGGAAAACGTGCGCCACTAAACCACTGGGATGGCTCAAAGGGAAACCACAAAATGAAAGCTACTTGAAGGGTCCTACTTCTGAGAATCACCACATAAGTCTCACATATGAGGGGTGCTGTGAAACTGGTGGCTAATTTCTAGATGGCGTTTGAAACGCAAAGGAAACAAAGCTTTTGAGTGGGCTTTCATGCTAGACCCCGGCGATCCTGCTGTTAGTAGGCTACCTCCCGGGCGACCACCTGACTGTCATCAGCAGCTGCTGATGGATCTCACATAATCTTGCAAAGGACCTTGCTACCAGGTCACCACATTAATCATTGGTATTTTGGTATGTGCCGGCAAGACGTTCCTCTGCCGGCGCCAGTACTTGCTAAGGGCCTTTAAGGAGAATCGTTGTAGTGTTTACCTGTCTAATGACTTTCGGGGATGCCCAAAACCATGTGGCCCAACCCACTTCCCCCCATCCCCACACCCCCCTGCTTCTTGGTTTGTTTAGAAGGGAGCCTACTTATTTCACTGTGTAGGTAGCCCCGTTCAGACCTCCTCCCTCCAATGGCTTTCATGGCTCCCGTTCGTGGCTTCTGGGCGTGGGCCCCAAACCTTGAAAACAGAGTTGGGCCAGCCCCCGCTAAAAAATGCCTTCGCCATTGATTGAACAGCCCACTTTGGCTTCCCGTTGACGGGGCCCAAGCGGCGGTTGTTTGAGCCAATGAGCCCCCCAAAAAATGTTGGGGGGACGCAATACCCGCTAAGACATGTCCAACCCGTAATAAAAGAATGTGTAGCCGCTTTCCCTTGGCAACAGGAGCGGCCGAAAAATTACGCACACGCGCACACACACACACTCTCACACACACACACACACTTTGCTTCTATACTTATGGCTCAATTTGGTCTTCAAAATCCTGACACACACACACACAAACCCATTCTGATTCTATAGTGCTGGGCCCATCAAAGTGGCATGGACAAAGCCACTTCCCAAACTGGCCCCCCCAACAACAACGATGTTTGGCGAACCCCTCAAAATTCAACCACGTGAAGGGACCATTGATTTTGAACAAGCCCAGTCCCTTCGCTGGCAATTGCAAAACATCGAGAGAACCACCAACCAACTTCCTCGTTGGTTTCATGCATAAGCCCCTGGACCTTCTTTTGGTGGTTTACCTTTTTAGTGCCGCCCAAAACTTGGGCCCTGAGTGCCGTCGAGAACAACCCAGCCCTGCCGTGGCCTGCGGGCAGAAGGTTCTGCAGGCGCCGCAGCATCTCGCTCACGGGCGCAGAAGCGTTGCTCGGGGAGTCCAGAATCACCGGTGCCAGGCGCCGCGTGCAGCGTGGGACCTTTGGAACTGACATGGCCTTTGGACCTCCTTTAGTTGAACATATGTAGAGATACAAGCATGAACATGTATGCTGATGTGGACATGTGTATATATATATATATATTATGCGTATGCATAGATATGTATATTGACTCTGACAGAACACATCCCAGCATTTGAATAGAATGGATGGGCTTCCTGTGCGTGGCCTGTAAGGCCTCAAAGCAGCCCCCCCTGCTTGGACATTCGAAACATCGGAAAAGTAACATAGTATGAGCGGGAAGTGGAACATCTCTTGGAGTCGTAAAGAACCCATTGGCCACTAAGGGTCCTTCACTAAAAAACAACATGATGGGAGCTAAAACCAGCACCACCAAAAAGGAGGCTTCCAAACATGAGGACGTCTACAAGTGGCAAGAAGCTACCATGTGGTTTTGTTTGTTTTTTTGCAGGGAGGCGTTTGTCGCATTCCAAAAAAACAAGTCTGAGAAGGCGGTTCTCCCCTTCCAATGCTCACTTCGCGCGCCTCGGACCCATCTCCTGCAGCCAAGCTGCCACCCGCAGCCGGTACTGGCGCTTGTGCTTCGGGGGGTCAATCTCTGCCTGCGATGTCGTACTGGCTCGATGCAACAGAGCTGTCTGCTTTTGAGCTCAGCTCAGCCAGTACTGATGATCATCACAAGACTCCACGAGGGCGGTCATGCTTTGCAACAAGAAGCTCCTTCCATCAACTAAACCCGAGCCCTGCCTCCTTGGCTTCCTTCTGGTCGATAGTCTCGAAGCCCTGCAAGACGTGTCACCAAATTGCCCTACCAACAAATCCTTGTTTTGGTACACACACACACACCATGGACAAGGCTACCCTACTGGACAAAGGACATGCTAAGTGCAAAACATCTGGGTGTGTCTTTGATTTGGTGCGCTTGTTTTATCGCGCCACCACTCAAAAACCAACCTCTCTGCGGGCTCCCCCATTTGGAGCCACACCTGGATGAACTACCATGATTCACAAACCAACAGGGGCTCAGCCCCGCAAGCTTGATCCTTGCCTCAAGGGCCCAAAAGCGGAAGGTGAGGTTGAACCTTTCCGCACGCACGCCCTCCATGGCTGGCACCGCGTGCAGCCAGTGCCGCTGGGAGTTCCTCGCGAACGCGATGTGAGGGGCTTGTGACGAGGGGCAATCCATCCTAGGTCCTCCAGTAGAGAGGTTAGAATAACCTTTTGTCTGTAGTCTATTTTAGTACGGGAACCCTCCCCCAAAAAGGGTAAAAGGGCACTACTGGGGGCGGGGGGGGGTCAAATTGTGGGGACCCCCAAAACGATTTTTGTTCGGGTTTCAACTCGAATTCTACGGGGTGAGTCCCCAGTTTTTGTTCAAAGCATCGCTTTTTCTCCCATTTGCCAGGGTGTTAGCAAATTGTCTGAAGAGAAAAAGCCCTGAATGGGGGTGGGGGGGGGGTGCGGCTACCATCTCAAAATGGGGGGTCCCCTCTTTGGATGAAGTGGTGCCAAATTTGGGGAAAATTGTAATTGATAATTATGCGCCAACCCCAAATAAGGGGAACTCCCCCCTATGAAAGAAACCTGCATTGGTGAAGCACAAAACAATCTGGTCGAAGGCAATCCGACTTTGGGGCGAGGTGAGCTGTCAGAGACTAGAGGTTGCAACGGTGCTTTGGCACAAGAGATGGGATGATTGGGGGGGCGGGTCGAGGTAAAAGCCAGTGTGAAGTCCAGTGATTGAATCCAATGTCACTGAATACCATGCCCATGCTGCTCCGGTGCCTGCGATGCAACCCCCTAAGCCAGCAGCACCAAGGGAGAACGGCTGCCAGCTACCACACCGCATTACATTGGTCGTCAGCGCAAAGGACCTCTTTGAGTAACACCGGGCACTTGGCTGAAAGTTGAGCGCAGAAGTAATTCCGCGGATGATGACCATCTTTGTTTCTAAGTGGCGCTTGTACACCAGTTTCCCTTGGGGTAGTGGTTTGAAGCCTGCCCTCAAGGTTGTCGCCTCGTCAGCACAAATGCTTTGAATGAACTAGGAAGCATAGATCTCGAGGGAGTGCCATTCAACATTGCAAGAATACGGAGACCACTGTAAAACCAGCGTTGCCAAGAAACACATCTCAGACCAAAAACACGAGGTCAAACAACTACGCAAGCATTGCCATAGCCTCCTGTTCGCAAAGACAATGTGTTTAAGCCGTCCGCAAACATCGATGACACAAAACGCGTCGAACGCGTCCAACCGACGTTGCTTAGATGTCCCCAGTTAACCCCCAGTCAACCCAATCCCCACAACTAGGCAAGGATATAATATTTAATTTCCAAGCCATCTTTGCGTGGCGGCGCCTGCCCATGACACACAAAGAGCCGTGGAAGAGAGGCAGCATCAAGTGGATGAGGCCCGAGTGCATCGCGCCATCCTGGCCCCGCTGGCCGTGCCACTCGCGCTTGCCTCAGAAAACGGCATGGGGGTTGGTTAAAAGTAGGCCCTTTATGGCACTTTATGGAACCTGGTGAGTTTTTTACGCCGCATTTGAAGGGGTCCAAAAAGGAACCATATCTTGGAAAAAGCCTTTGGCAAATATAGAAGTGGAGCAGGGGCTTGTCAGTGGAGCAAATGCAGAGCAATGGCTTGCTGACATCTTGAACAAGTATATAAACGATCACATGGAAACAGCAACAGGTGCTGCCAGTTGAAAGGTTTCGGCGCTTTGCAACAATCACATTGAGTGCTCACGGCTGACTCAATCTGTGCCTTGCAAAGTTCGATCTGTTTAAGCATGTTCATGCGGCAAAATGCACTGGTACGGCAAACAAATCGAAATCGTCCACAACCGCTGAGTATGGAAACATGACAACAATCACCCTGGACACTCACACGGACCCTGAAAACCGCCCAGTTAAGGAGGTGCCCTTTCTTGGATCCAACCAAAACTGATTCAGCCAAAAAAGGCACGGTGAGCATTGCGGGGAATCTACAAGGAGGGCCATGGAACCATGGCAAATAGCTCCGACCGTGTGAATCCTCGTATGGATATTATCATATGCGTTAAAGTAGGGGGGACCCCCCAAAACGATTGGTTTTCCTTTTGGTTCTCCATTTGGTTTCCCTTTAAACTAACGTGCAACAGGTAACTTCAAAAACGCAGACTCATATACCTTGGGGTTGGCAACGCCAGTACGCACCGCAACTTGCCTCCCCACTGCAGCATCCAAGGAACAGTGCAAGCCACTCTCAGCAGATTAAACCTGGAGTCTCCAAGGCTCCAGAAAGGCAGATCAACCAAAAAACTATACGGGAGTTTCTCATACGGGAGTTTCTCCCTCTTTTAAAAGGTTGGAAACTAGACGCGAAACCAAAAGGACCCCAAATAGTCATTTTAAGGGACCACGATTTCGGGACATCCCCATATACACCGAGCGTGTTTGAGCCTCACACGACTGAGCTCCGCCCCAGGCGCTCTTAAAGGCGAAGTCCCGTGTGGCGCCGATGGACAGCGAGCCGATGACGGGATCGGGGCCAAGGCCCTCGTTGCCGTCGGTGTGCCAGTGGATGGTCACCGTGCCGTCCCGGTAGTGGTTGAACCTGCCATTTCACCGTCCGGATGGATGTTTTTGCCTACCTTTTTTGCAAGTAACCTCTCCTTCCGGGGGTGATTGTACCAAAAAGGAAGCAGCTGGCAAAACATGGTGGATGCCGAACACTGCGTTTCCCTCAGCAAGTTTAGCCATGCGTCGTGATCTCTTCCCTATGCTATGGCAATGGTCAAACAGACTTATGGCCCCTCCAAATGTTTGTCCACCTCATGGCAGCTTCTTTTCCCAACCGCCGCACAGGGAATTCCAGCTGTCAAGAAGCGCGCCCGTTCTGTGCTGCCTTTCAGAGGGCTTCGACCAAGGGGTACTATTTCGCCAAACCACCATGTGGTCAGTGTCAATCACGAGCGGTGCACGGACTGACCCTCAGGTTCATTTTGGGATGTCGCGCGTTGTGCCTTAGAAGCCACTCAATTGGAGATGCTTGATCAGTACGTGTCACAAACTGCCCGCTAGCCAACCGATTTGAGGGGCAGGCGGCGCCCTCTCATAACCCTCTGTTTCCGAGCAAAGAACAAACAATTCTGAGAATCTCCAAGGCATGTACAGTCCAACCACTTTTAGCTGGGATCCAATTTGTGCGTATGTGCCAAATTAGAGGAACCCCTAAAACAGGTGTTCCTGAATTCCCTGTGAACCAGCGCAAGAGGGTACCTGCGGCCAACGCACACCCTCACGTTTACCCCGAAACGCGGTTGAACGGCGTGGCCCTGGGCCCTGTCTCCCCACATGTCCCCTCAGTCCAACGGCTTGGGCCGCGCCAGATGGCGTTGAAGACGCTCTCGCTGGCATCCTCCACGCGCTGCAGCAGGGCGCGGGTCCAGGGCTCCATCTTCCTGGGCAAACACACGGAGCACCAAAGTTGTTCAGTGTGAGGAGTGCTGAACATGACAAATATGTACAATGATCATTGATGAAAAGCAAAGAGGTTCGACTTTGCAGGTGAATGAACGTGAAGGACAACAGTTGCATAACTGTTCTTATTGATAAGTATCCACAGGTTTGAGTTGGAACATTGCGTTTTCCATACACATATGTGCGTGTAACAAATGACTCGTTTCATGTGCCAAGGTTAGAGGCTACCACCATATGTTGCCGCTGAATAATTCAGCCAGGGACACCCACCAACGTCTCTTGATACCTGTGGATGTGTAGCAGTTGTCTTATCTTGTTAGATGCTTGAAACAGTTCATTGAAATCCAAATTCCATAGGCAACCAACTTGACGGTTCAACTCGCGGCCGGCCCCACTTCCCACTTGATTCCGCAAGCAACCAACAATATGTTCAGCGAATAAGCAAGCGGCTAGTTTTGCAATAAATGAACATGTGTATTATATATGTGCATCTTTTTCACCACGGTCCCTGCTTCCGCTCTCGATTCTTGTTTGCCTCTCAGGATACTCTTTGTTGCCCAATGGACTTCGTTTCTGATCCAGTAGTTGAAAAGTTGCTGCTTGGCCTACCCAGGAAGAACAGCCCCCATTCCTAAGCAAAGCACAATGTTTATAAGGTCTCTTTAGGAGCACCTCCCTAATACATCTGCACCAATGGGAGTTCTCACTGACCTATCTTCAAACCCGAGCAGCTGGGAAACGTAGAGCTGGGACTTGTCCCGGGAGTTGTCGTATTGAATCCCGAAGTTGAAGTCGTCACAAATCCGGGCCTGACCCTTGCGGTTCACCGTCTCCTGGGCGAAACGAAAAGCACAACGGGTGTCGAAAATTTGAAGGGAAACCCCCAAGCCTTCAGGCCAGGGGCTGAAGGGAAACCGCCAGGAAGCCGAAGGCAAACATCTCACCTCTGTGCACCTCCGAGTGGTTGAACTTGCTGAAGCCCGCGTTGCTCCGCCTGCCCCTCACTCAGAATCACCCAAAGCTGCTTAAGAATGCAAGGGTACATCTACGACCATAGGCAGCTGGAGATCGCAATCTGTCATACTCAATACGACTTTTCAGAATAGGCACCAACCAAATTTGCATTTAGGTAGTACCCAGTAGGATGTGCACTACCTGGAAAATAGGCTTGGTTTTACCCAGATACTTACGCTATTCTTTAAAAAAAAAAAAAAAAAAATGAGAGGGTGTCCCTTCCAAATTAAAGGGAACCCTGCTCCTGAGTGATCCCGCTGGGGGTCTGGAAGTAGTAGGTCGGATGGTACATTGTGACCTTCTCCTTGACCTCCTCCTGCAAACAAAACAAACCACAATGCGCCAGGTGGGCTCAGAGTTGGCTTGGTTGAGCGGTGAAGGGCTGGAGGGTGGGGAAGGGCTGGAGGGTGGGCAAGAGGCTTCAGCAAACATCATGATTTCCCCCACCCCCCCCCCGCCCCCGAAAAAAGCACCTTTCAAACAGCGCGACCTACTCGTTGCCTCTGGCTGTTGACAAATCTGCCAGTTTGCCAGCATTGGTTTGAACGAGGTCACCGATTGATTCCGTTGGCGGCAGGGAACTACCTGAGAACGAGGAAAGGACGAATGTCATTGTACGGCACAAAACAAAACCTGGCATCACTCGAACAGAAACCGCTACAAGTACTTGTATGTCACGAATTCACACTCATAACTCAAAACTCGTAGCTGTCGGCTTTCACCAGTCCAGCGCGTCCAGTCAGTCTGAAGTTGCTTCAAAGGGAAACCGAAGGGAAACCACCGAGTTGACTTTTGGTTCAGTTCAACCAAAATGGGTTGAAGGTGATATAGCCCTTGTTGAAGCCCCCATAGCGGAACCAGCTGCGAACATGGCCAGCTCACTTCCCGACTGGATTGGGCCCGAAAAAAGTTGTGAGCTGCTTCTTTGCCGTTAAAACGATCTGCCCAAAAATGTAGAAACTGCCGGAACTCCGGGAGTGAGCCGATGGGGTTTGGCCGCTCGATCCCCCAACCGCTCCCCCAGGCGCTCACAAGGCGCCTCCAGGGCATCCGCCTCGGACTCCCCCATGAAGTGGGGGTACCACAGGATCTCCGTGTCCCAAGGAAGCCGCAGCCTTGCCAAATCCATCTCGTCTCATCGCAATTTGCCACTTGCCACGAGAGAAAGATACAATTTCTGCGTGCTGCCAGATGGGCCCGAGCATAGCGCCAAGCCAAATGATGTTTGATTCCAGGATCTCTAGAGTCGCCACTCTCCCCAGGCGGACACACGGACAAAAAACACACGGGACTTCAGATTTCAGTGTGTCTAAAATGGGTCTTGAGTCGGGGGTCTGTTGTTTTGTTCGAACCGCAAAAACAACAAACGCGGACCCTTCTTTAGTCCTTTTGGGGCAAAAACAAAAGTATGGGTTATTTCACACCCAGCAAAACCCACAACTTCCCACAACATCGGCTGGTGCTTGGAAACCTCCGGCTTGCCCCTAGCATCTCCCAAATGAACCGCTCTTGGATGGCTTGAAAGAAAACAGGGCAGGGACCACTCTACCTCAGCCGTCGCTCAACCATTCGGAAAGAAACTGCTTGAATCTGGCCCATACTTGCCACGAGGGTACCAGGACCATAGCGGACAAGGGAACACTTTTTTGGTTTGGGTCTGTGTCAAAATAGGGGAACCCCTGCTAAATGGTAGTTTTAGACACCACACTGAAAAGGGTACCCGCGAAAACACACCTCCCGCTGGCCTGTAGGGCTTCCCCTCCCGCAGCTTCTCCTCCCACTCGGCCGGCGACAGCTTCTCCCAGTTGAGCACTGGAAGAGCCTTGGCCTCCCAGTGCGGCTGTGGGCTGAGCGCTTTGACGGGAAACCGAAATGAGGGGATTGAATCCATCGGAAACGCATCCCCTGCAAGAAAACTATCTGAAGTCCATTTGGTGGCCAATTCCGTTTGAGGGGGCGGTTACAGGGGGTTTCCCTCATTTGATCATACCCGTGTGCCAAAACGGGGGTCAGGGACCCCATGGATGTTGAACAGAAACCAGGGCTTGGAAGGATATCCATCTGGAGGAAAGCAACTCTGCGCCTACTCAGAAACCTCCGACTCCCTGTCCCAAAAACGCAAACCGCAGCTCTGAATCCTGGACAAGAAAGTTGGTGTCGCCGTGAGAGAGGCAAGTTCCATGTCTGCCCTGTTGCATTGCCTCCATCCCAACAGCCTGGTCAATCTCCCACCGTCAGAAAGGCTGCATTGAGCTCATATCTGCAAGGGTTGTTGATCCGCTGCGTTCGACAGGCCCGCTGTCTGCTTCCTCAGGCAGACTCTTGAATGTGTGCCTCCACTCAATCCGATTCTTTGCACATTGACTCGAAGTCTAGCTACTCCCGGATTCAACGTGGCGATGGGTAGGGTGTTCGGTATATGTGTATGCAACACACTTTGATGTCCAATGCATCCCCTCCTCATGGAGTATCGCTCACGCCACAAAGGCCATATTATCGTGTCGCCGTGAACCATCGGGCTCTCTGGTCCCTTAAAGAGGATCTGCAAGGGATACTTTCAGCGTGCCGCTCCAAGTAACACTGGATGAAGGTACTATGACATAACAAACAGGCTGACGGAATCATTGCTAGAGTCAGGCCTCATTCATTGTTACAATCACATGTGCATGCGTTTACACACCCATTATATATATATATACATACACCCACATACAACCCGTTATGTTATTCGCCTTCCAACAGTAACATGCAAATTTAAATTGCATCCTACCGTCCACCCCAAGGCCTGCGGCAGTCCGACGTCTCGTCTCCCTCCCGCCAATGGCCTCGCCACGCTCCTTCCCCCGGCGCCAGGACTTGCGCTGCTGCCCTGGGCCACGGAGGGGCATCCACGTCCACCCCTCCAACTGAGTTGCACATGTGTAGAAAGCTTCTTCGGTATCATTCGTTTTGAGACCACATGCAGGAAACAAACAACTTGCGCAGTCTCTGCTTGTGTGCAAACTTTCCTCCAGAAAAGTGCACCCACAAAGCAAGAACCAACCACTACAAAAACAAAAGCCCCCCCCTCCCGGTGCTTCTTGTTTCCACCTGGACGTTTTTTGTTGCGATTTCTGGATGTGTCTCCACCCCCGCTTCGCCCTGGCCACAGCCGAGCGTCGCTTCAGCTTCTCCTGCTCGAGGCAGTCCTCAGAAGGTGGGACAGGCGGATGCACGGAAAATCGGGCGGCGGCGAGTGGATTCAGAAGCCGATCCTTGTCTTTACGATGATGGCGGCGACTTGAGCAAGCCAACTGATTTGAATATCAAAGTGACGATGGAGGTGACTTGAAAAACATGATGATGGCGCTGCCTTGAACACAACTCAGCTTTGAAGATATGGACACACCGACGCTACTTTCTTCAACCACACGAAGTTTATAGGTACTGAGCCTGGAAGAGACTGGCCTAGATGGCACCCTTTTCCTCCAATCGCTTGTGATCTTCACGAGGTGGTACCCCTTGCACCAAAACCGTCCTATGCCAAAACTCCCAACTTGAAGTCATTTGGGTTCGCTGTTTAAGGGTACCCTTCTCGGCTTGGTTTAACGAAAAGCCAAAAGGAAAACCAACAAATTTGGAGTCCAAATCCCTATTTTGACACATACCCATTTGCAGAAGCGGCCCAACACATCCAGTCACGGAACTTTGGCTGCATGCAATGGGCCTTGGTCTCCCGCTGCAAACGGATGGGCATGGCTTCAAGCAGAAGCACAGCCCTGGCTATGATAAAGAATCCACTTTGGCCAAACACTTCACGCAAGAAATGGAATAGGCACCGACACTTGTGGTTGGGCCATGCCTTGCTTGGGCCGGCCAGGGCGCCCAAAACAGAAATGCCTCGGCTTCCCACTTCCGATTTCCGCCGAGGCGCGTCGAAGTAGTTCACCCAGTTCCGGTACAGTTCGCTGGCTTCGTCGTGGCTCAGCGACTTCATGACACCTGCCGTCCAAAGGCATCACAGACTTTACAGAGCGCCCCACCCCCTGTTGAACCGCTGGTGCTGGTCTTCGTGAGCTTCGGACTACTCCGGAGGAACGTACAAATAGGTACCAATCGGGAGGGTTCCTCAGACTAGTAGAGTCCCCCGAATGAATCATTGGACAGTTGTGCTCCAAAACATCATGTTCTCTTCGAGGCAAAACCCTGAGGGCCGAGGCTTCGGCGCAGTCACACAAGTATCAGCAGTCACGAGTTCCGAAGTTCTAGAGCAAACCGGCCAGGATTAAACCGCCCGCTTCGTGCCAAACCTGAGATACTGCGGATGGACAAAATCCTGCACCGCTTAGTCAGTGTCTTGCCCATGTTGTATCCCACAAATCACAGGGCTTCGCATGATTAGTCCGTTCCAACTGGTGCAGGATTGTGTCCATCCACAGTATGACAGCAGCCATCAGCAATCATCACATACGATAAATGTGTCGTGTGTTTCTTTCCAAATATGCATGCCTAAAATACATGAAGAGTATGTATGCGTGTGTATATATATATTATACAGCTCATGCCGTATAGCATAGCATCACAAATATGTAGCATATCATCTCCTGCGCTTTTTGACCAGCAGCCCCCCTACTCGACTTGCCTGTTGGATAGCACGTGAGGGTTTTGGACATGGGACAATGCCGCCGCTGGAGGGTGCTAGGATGTGTCATGCGTGGGTATGTCTCAAAATACTGGAGCTTTCAAATTGTTGCTTTCCCTGGGGCTTCCGTTGGAAACAACCCCAAAGGGAGACCAGAAGCCACGCCCATCTTGGTCTCGAGCCGCATCCAGTCGAGGCGCGATGGTCCTGCCACATGAGGTGCTCCACCTGAGCGACCCAAAACGCGCACCTGACTGGAGCTTTCTGGAGGGCGTTACGTGCGTTCCCTTTGCTTCTACCAGAACCAATACTAAGGCTTTCAGGACTACCAGGACCATTACTATGAAGGTTGACCCACGCCTCCAGTGGCAAAACGGGCACCCGCTCTTGGTTTGAAGGGCTACCAGAACCAGCATGCTGATGAAAGTGGCTTTTGCATAGCCGTGGCTCATTCCTCAATGCGTGCACTTGAGTAGAAAAAAGCCTAGAATCCGTATGTCGTCGCCTGGCCAAGGGGCCGCAGGGGGCAGGATGGTCTGGCATGGTAAGCGGGGCATGAGTTCCACACACCGAGGCCAGTGCCACGAATGTCGTGCTTGGTTGGATCCAGTGGCCACTGCCATGCGCGCTCCTTTGTGGCTAACTTATTGGCAACCCACCCAAAAGAAAGCTGCAATGTTCGGAGTTTGATGATGATCTCATACAACAAACGAACACTATAGCTAGAAAACACGGAGAAAACCAAGCTGGCATGGAATTGCGACAATGCAGAAACATGTATATGACAGTTAATACTAAAACTTGAGCTGTTCAAAATGTGGGAACCCCTAATGATTGATAGTGGGACACCACTAGAAGGGAAACCACTACAGTCTGGCATACGGATAAAGCATACATGTTGAACAACCCAAAGAAAGGAAGAAACAACAAGTGGCCCGGATTGTAGCTGACCATGTTTAGTGGGAACTCACCAAACAATCAGAAAATAGGGGTCGGGACCTGCCTCCCTCGATCTCATGTGAAAGGGGGTAGGGATGAAGTAGAACCACACACCCCAAAGATGCTGGATTCAGTTTGAACCTGGTGCTGATTTGAACTACCATCTGGCAGAAGGATCCCCCCAAGCAACGGACAACTGCACGGTTTCCACTTTTTGCCACTGTTTACAACTTGTTGCCACAGAATTGCCGCGTTTTCCAATGTGAGGGTGACATCCACATCGGGCCTTGCAGTTGGCCGGCAGCAGATCGCAGAGCTGCAGGCGGTGGCACTTCTGGGGCTCGTGCCTAAGTTGGAAATGTCTCGTGGTCAGAAGGCTCTCAGGGCTTTCCTGGGAGGGTTGGATGGGGGGTGGATTATCTTCGGAAAATGGACGCTTATTTCAATGTAGATCTGGGCGTCTCTTTTGGAGGCTCGGTAGGGTTGTGCTCAAGGGAAACCAAAAAGGAAGCCACACATTTACACATTTGGGGGGTTCCTCATTTAGAGACAACCCCACACAAGTGACAATCAACAAATGGTACTGAAGGGTCTACCCAATACTGTTCTTCACGCCCTTGGACAACGGCTTCCAATAAGTCGGTGTTTGTCACAATAGTGGTTCATTTCCTACAATGGTATAGGTATCCTGATTTTCCCCTTACACCAGGGTGAAAGTAGATGGCACACTTCCCTTTACGCGGGTAAGTAAAGGGAATTAACAAAGGGGGAATGCTGCCATCTACTTTCATCCAACTGTAGGTTTCCCGTTGTTAATCCACTCTGGCAATCTCAGGTAGCTGGAAGCACTGGGCATCGTCTTTCCGGCCCATCACCAGCCAAGCTGCATGTGCCCCAGCAGGCAGATGGGACCTTTAGGCCTAGGCGTTTTCGGACAGCGGATGGGGGGGATGCCGGGGGGGGGGGGTTGTTTGGGAATCCCAGGGTCCATGTCTCTGAATCAGATAATCATGTCCCCCGAATTCCAGGTACCATCAATTCCATTTCTTGCACGAAGTCAGACGGCCAGGATTCACTGAATAGTTGTCCTTTCGGTGTTTAAGTATTTCACCTTCGATTTCATGATTTGGCCTTTGCCTTCCTTTCAACTGGCGGATTGGTCGTTTCCTTCCTTTCAACAAACGGCCACCAAACTTCCCCAACCCCATCCCTAGCCCCGCCCCTCGCTGCAAGCGAAACGCGCAGCGGCGAGGAGGCCCTTCAGCACCCGCCGCAGCTCCTCCGCGTCGGTGAGCTGGTCCTCCCCGAGCTTGTCACCCCAGTACTCATAGCCTTCGCTCGCTCTCGGCCTCTCGGGTCGTGTTGGTGCGCTTTTTTGGGGAAAAACCTCACAAGTGATGGGAGACCACAAAGGAATGTTGCTCAGTCTAGGAGCGAAAACCCTTTTTTTTGGGGAAGGGCCCTGCTTTGTCAGGGCCGTGTATTGATTTTGCAGTACAGAACCATCAGCAAGTCGCGGCCGACCTCGGAATGCCCAAAACTCCGCTGAGGCTCCTTTCTTGCCGCCCCAGTTTTATACCAGGGTTCATGAGAAAACCAGGTATTCATATCAGTGTCGCTTTCGTTCAACCCATGCCTTTTTGGCGTGTTTTGTTCTCGTGCCCCAAACTCCCAAACCCTTGGGCCCGGGCGGTCCCGTTTTCTCAACGCAGCTGTACTTCCCCAGTGTTCCCAAGCATCCGAACTGTTAGAAACATGGAATCTCAACAGAACGATGTTCAAAAAACATAGAGGGAGAAGGTCAAACTTTAGAAACATTGCGGCCAACACTGGACCTGGTGACACTTTTATGGGTGGCTTTATTGGGGGGTGGCAGCTCCAGAAGTGACTCGGAACCACCCGCCCATTCACTCTTCCCTGCTTCGTTGCTTGTTGAGTTCATGAATGCCTTGGTCTTCCATCTCGTCGTTTGCTGGCACTGCTTGGGATGCAAGTGACCCGTGACTGTGACCTAAGCAAAAAACCGGCTAACATCCCTGTTTGATCAGCCATTTGCTTGTCAGAGTCAGTGGGTAGGCGGCAGGCTATCATGCCATCCAAAACCGTCCTTCCCCACTGGCCACGTGACAAAAGAACGCCGCTCCTGTTCGACTTTTTTGGGACGCCCTTTTGCGAAGCTTGTTGCAAAGGGCAACCACTGAAGAATTAATTTTCCAGGGCAACTGGAAAACAGCGTGGATTCCTTAAAAGGAAAACCAGTAAGGCCTTTTCGGGAAAATGTTTCGACGCGCAACGAACGCCGATGCTCAGCAGCGCCCGGGTGAAGTCTTTGCCCCGGAAGAGTTGCTCTTCGCGGCCCGCCCGCGGATTGCCGCCTTCCGGATCCGCGGATCAGATGCGCGGGGAGAGGAGGAGAGGGAGCCCCGCAGGGCGCCAATGATTGGCACTCCAAAATGGTTGCCTTTTGGTCCATTGAACTTGAAAGGGAAATCTTCAAAGGCACACATCAATTTGTGTGTCAACACAGGGGCACCCCTAAAACAGTGGTTTCCCCGGCTTGCTTGGTGTCCCTTAAAACCAGCCTCAAAACGGGTACCTTCAAAAACACACACACACACAGTTGAGGCTCAATATGCGCTTCAGTGCTGAGCGCAGCGCGGATATCTACCAGGAACTTGACATCCAACGAGGAAAGCTGCCACAGATACACCTGACGCTCGCAGTCACATCCTGCCATCCCCTGCTGAGATCTCGCAGGGGTCCTGAAAGGACAACACCTGAAGTTGGTAGGTGGTTTATCCCAGCATATCCCAGCATTTCGTGGGGGTTTATCAATCCCAACAGTGCAAGACTAAGATTTTGTCCCGACACTAGGCTAAACTTTGCACACAGAGCTTGATCCAGTTGAAGGAGTTCCTTGGAAAACGAGTGCAATCCACCGAGGCTCCAAGCACTCTGCTACCAAGATTGCACCAAAATCCTTGGGAAGGACTTCTTGTCACCCTAGTGCAATCAGTGGGGCCCAGATTCCCTATTGCTCTGGCTGGTAGTGCACTGCAGCGCGTGTTTCAACACCAAATGGCTGAAACAAGCGGAAACCGGCCAAAGAGCCGTCAGCTCGGGAAACGCAGACACGCCTCGCGACTGACCCGCCAAGTGCCGATGGTGTAGACCTGAGGGCAGGAATCTTTGAAGCAGAAAGAGCGATGCGCCACGTGACTTCGAGTTGTTCAAGTTGAAGGGGAAGCCAATCCCACAATCCAATAGCGATTCAAACCACTGCAAAGAGCTCCTCAGCCCGAGCGACTCAAATGGTTGCAGGGCACTGTGCGACACCGCGGCCCACAGGACGCGCGAAGGAAAACAACTCCGATCAAAAAGCCCTCAGTTGACCAAGTAAGTTGGCCAATCGCCAGTGACCCTTGAAAGGTTGTCCAATCCTAGAAGAGCGTTTGGCATGGCATGTGTGCGTGTGGAAGACAGCGCAAGACACAGTTTGGCAACACACACAAATGAGATGCTGGGAGTACGCCACTTGCAGCCCACTCCTCACCGGCATGATATTCTTTGAGGTTTTCGGCTCAGCTTGCTTTCCTCGTGCGAACTGAACCTGATCATGCCAACAGTGTACTTTAACTTTCGCACACAAGCTCGCCCACCAGAGCAAGCAGGCAAGCAGGCTGGTAGCACAGCACTCAAAGGCCTGCCGTTGCCAATTGCCTTTGCGCTTGCTCGAAGTTTAAACATGGTACACACTACGAAGCACTCCTGCTGCATCTGCAATGCTTACCATATTTCCAAAACTTGAGGTAAGAAAAATCTGGGTCAAAGACCCGCATCAGTGAGCTGTTTGTTGCCTCCAAATCGGTGAGTTCGTCTTTATATTGTTAGAAACGCAAAAACAATAGGCAGGCGTCTTGGCTATGTGGTTCCCTCGTGGCTCGAGAAGCCCTGCTTGTGGCTTTCTGGGGGCCCAGCTCTTCGCAACTCGGGCACCTGCGAGGCGGCACCTGCGCCAACGCCGGGACACCAGGCATACGCCACAAGTGGCGCAAGGGAAAGCCCGAAGTCTGCTGTTAGGTGACAAAAGTAGAATGCACTGGCAACTGCCAAAACAAGCGCCGTCTGTTTTCAGCCAAAGTGACCTTTGCCTTGGATGGGTACTGAAGTGAATTGAAAGTAAGCCATGTTAAAACAGCTCGCTCCATGCCAAAACTTTTAATCATGTAGACGTCGTGGCAACATTTTGGAGCTATCATTCGAGTCGAGGACGCTTCTGCGTTCGTTCGCCCCCCCCCTCAAAGGCCCTTTATACATGCTGGTACTTCTGTCTTCACACCTCCTCAATGTACCTTTGCTCAGTCTGGCCGCTTCCAAGTATCAGCAAATCTACTCATTCCCAGGTGCTCAAACAATTCGGCAGAACTAGAATTCTGGAACCAAATGGTGTCGAACATCGTTTTCTGGCTCAAATGAGTTGCAACACCCATTAGGCCCCAGTTGGCGTCTCAAACAAAACATGCTGACAGGCTGTTGGAAGGCTCATCTTCGCGCGCAAACCACGCCTCGTTGCGGCTTGCGGGTCCAACGATTGCCTGGCAAAGAGCCAACCGGACATTCTCAGCATCATCCTTCTTCCACTTCCAAGTGGCCGAGTGGCAGTTTTCTCTCTTATTGGCTCAAAAGCCATGATTACGTGCACCTGTGTACAACAAGAATGGACGTTCCAGCCGCAATCATTTGACAATAGAGAAACAACGGGACCCAGAAGAAGCCCAAACAAATCCACTTCTGGGAAGACCCTTGCAGGGCAAAGGCCAAACCCTGCCTTGTGGCTCATTTCAACCAGCATGGCGCTACTTTGGAGGCCAAGTGCTCATCATTCTGGTTCATCATAGGCGTTCTGGTGGGAGTGTGCAGGAGTCTGGAAACAAAAAAACTCCGAAAATAGGATACATACAACCCTCTATTAGACGCTGTCGCGGAAACTGTCGCGCTTCTTTCCCTTCCACTCGTTTCACTTTCGCGTTCATGTGTTCTGTAATTATCACTTTCGCGGAGCTTTCGCGGGCAACACAGAAACTGCAAACATGCGCTGACGTTTGGTGTCCTTTCCTCCTTTTGGGAAAGTTCAACAGTATGGCCGCCCATGGACACTAAGCCCCAGGTGAAAGCTGGCAAACCAGGCTCCATGCTTGGAGGAATTACCCACCAGGGGCCACCAGTCTATCACTGTGAGCAAAACTGGTTCAGCATCTTGGTCAGCTGACTGCTGTGCCTCAAACTGGCAAGGTCGTGCGTCAGGCTATCAACATCTGGTACCTTTTTGGCGCTCGTTTGCTGGCCGCCTCGCTTTCGACGGCTCAAACAAATACTTCGACGGCCCCCGCGACCCAATAAATTGCCGTCTCTCAAACACGGGGAACTGTTGCATGATCTCACAGCCACAAACAAAGAATTCGCTCAGTTTGACGATCTATTCTACGAAACACCCTAATTTAGACCCTAATGATTAATGTGCTGTGAGTCGTTTCTTTGCCCTTCCCTGCAAAGCCGCACTCCACAAACAAGCTGAGGCCAGGACTGGGAGCGTCCGTCATGGGCGTCCATGTGAATGCGGAGAAAGGAACTCTTCCCCCGTGACCATGCGCAATTCTTCTGCAGATGCAACTGGTTGGCTTCGATAGTCTGTGTGTGCTTGATGTATTTCATGTGGCAACTCAATGTCCACAAAAACGTGTAACACGCGCGTGCAATGGTTAGTGCGGCTTCTCTCCGACACCCTAAAGGCAGCGTTCTCACTCCTGTATGCGGGCTCTGCACGATCTGATCTGCTCATGCCAAGCTTGTGTGCCATTCCTTGGCATCTTGGGCCTCACGCATGCAAGCTGGACCCCGCAGTTGCATGTATTGGCAGCTTGAAGCTCGACTGCACGTGGGATGTACACTGCTTCATCACGCACACACACACACCAAAATAAAAGCGAGTGAAGAGCCCGAGGGATGGTGTGGGGCGTGGTCAAAATGGAGCCCTGAAACATCACACTTAAGCCTCCTTGGCCCTTAGCAGCCCCCCGAAACCACCTGTTTGGGGGTGAATGTCGGTTTTGAGCAAATGAGGCCCTTGAGGTGGTTTTGGGTGTTGAGAACCTCCTGAACTCTACCAAGTCAAGTCCCCGACAGGCAGTGCAGGTAAGCCTCCCAGTGCAAAGTAATTTTGATCTCGGATGAATAAACCTGGTTGACTAGGACGCTGTCCCAAAGCTGGAGTCCTCCTGCCGGTTTGAGTTAATCCGCGAGGTTCATTCCGGGGTCGACATTAGCCATGTGCCACAAGAATGAAGGCATTCAGACGGTAAAGATGTCCCTACCCCAAATCACCAACAATCTCGGCTGCAAATGGGAATCCCGGACCCAAAGCTTGCGAAGGTTTGACTGGAACCAAGCAGGAAGCAATCAACCATCGGCAAAGCAAACACGTTACTTCACCAGGGCTTGACCTTTTGCCTTGGTAAATAGGGGAACTACAGGTCCACTTGCTTAATGTTGAGACCTCATAACTTCAGCAAAAGGGAACGACGTAAGACATTATCAAACGTTGACACAGCTCAACAGGGGTGTTTGCATTGTCTGTGGGTCCCTTTGCCTTGCAACAGCTTGCAGTGACCGCCAGCGCCAACCTTTTCTCCCTGCACCCGAAGAGAATCATGGCGCTGGGAAGTGCATTACCGTCAACCTGGCAGTGGCTTGCTTCTTTCCCAAGCATCCCACGTCTTTCCATTCCCCTCTATGATGCTTCTTGTTTATGCTGCAGAATTTCTACGGGGCTGTGGCACAATGGCAGCGCGCCTGGCCGTAGCGGACAGGAGGTTGCAGGTTCAAGTCCTGCTAGCCCTATAGCTAAACTTTTAAAACTGTGCCTTCGCACTAAAGGTTGGCGAGATGATTACCAACCAGTGTGGGGATGGTCTGACCGCTCCGGAGAAGGGGCACAAAACGAAAAACGAGCAAACACTGAGGGGCTCATTTAGGTGGTAGCAAGCATCCCCCACGTTTTGGCAACCCGTCAGGGAACGGATTGTAGGGAACCATGAAAGAAGTTACAAGTGTAAGGACCACTAGCTGAAGCCACGTGGGGAACCATTCGAGAAGCTAATTCAGTGAGCCGGTCAAGCCTGCGGAAGCTACTTGGCCCTTTGGTTTGACCAAAAACATGCCCAACCCAGCAATTTCCTCTGGGGATGGAGCAGCTGCTCGGATTTGGATGTCATGGATCCAGCCCAAGAAACTGCAGTGTTTGGGGGTAAAGCAGCTGGTATGTTGTTGTTTGCCATGAAGTGTTACATTCTTGTCTTGCCTTTGGTCCAATAAATCATTTAATGTGCTCAGCAGTCCTCAACCAAGCATGACCTTCTTTCCCGTGCAGCTAGCTGGTAGCTAGCTGGTACAAAGTGATCTTCCTCCATCCACAACTGGGTTTGTCGCAAACAGGGTACCTCAAAACCAGTTCTTCAGGCAAGTCCATTTTTGGTGTTTCGTCAAAACCAAGCATCCAAAGCTTCCTGAAAGGGAGCGAAGGTTTGTCGACTCGCCCGTGGCCTCGTCAGAAGTCCTGGGCGCCTTTCTTGGCCCCGCGCTCGCTGGCCGCGCCCTGGCAAAGAAGCCACAGGGAACCCGCTGGCCGCGCCCAAATAACTTGAACGGAGTCGTGGGAATCAGTGATGATCATAAGAGTCAGGGTATAACGTGTACAATTGTTTTGCCCCTTATGTTAAAGGGGTCTAGGGGGGGAAGTGTGACATGTTCAACCCCTTAACTGCTGGCCATGGCCCAGGTCAACTGCTTGCACCTACCAAAGGATCAACTCTAGCACCTCTGCGTAACAATTCTACAAACAATCGTTGCATGTGATGGGCTCCCACAACCCATCAACTCTCTATTTGGGGATCTGGCTAGATATTCTAAGAAAGGGTCCCCTATGAAGCATGAAGATGTCTGGCACCGAAAAAAGAAACAAAGAAAAGAAAAAGGGAACACCACAACAGTGTCTAAGTGTGACAACGCCACGTAAAAGGTGTTCCTGCCGCCCTTCAGCACAAGCCCAGCTCGTTTGCCAATCCGTTGAATATGTGTGTGTGTGTCAAGTGTTGGGCAAAGCTGGGGCCTGCATATATCTGGGCAGACTACTATAATTCCCAAGCCGGAAATGAGGCATATGTATATAAAGGATGAGCGCGGTTTGCCCCCCCGGCGAGCTGGTTCTAATTTGCGCAGGCTGAGCCTGCGTGACATTGCCTGGCAGTGCTGAACCATGAAATCTGGGAACCAAAACGAGAACACCAAGAGAGAACCCGAACAGGGAACCCAGAACGAGAAACCAAAAGGGCAACCAAACCGGGAAACCGCAAAGGGAAACCAAATGGAAAGCCCAAACAAGAAAACCGAAATGCAAAACCAATTGGAAAGACGAACAGCGAAGCCGAAAAGGGAAATGAAATGGGAAGCCACGCAGGGAAACCAAATGGCAAGCCAAACAGGGAAACCGAAAAGGGAAACCAAATGTGAAGCCACACAGGGAAACCGGAAGCGAAACCAAATGGCAAGCCAAACAGGGAAACCGAAAAGCGAAACCAAATGGCAAGCCAAACAGGGAAACCGAAAAGCGAAACCAAATGGCAAGCCAAACAGGGAAACCGAAAGGGAAGCCAAATGGCAAGCCAAACAGGGAAACCAAACAGGGAAACCAAAAAGGGAAGCCAAACGGCAAGCCAAACAGGGAAACCAAAAAGGGAAGCCAAACGGCAAGCCAAACAGGGAAACCAAACAGGGAAACCAAAAGGGAAGCCAAACGGCAAGCCAAACAGGGAAACCAAAAAGGGAAGCCAAACGGGAAAACAAAAGGGAAACCAAACAGGGAAACCAAAAAGGGAAGCCAAACGGCAAGCCAAACAGGGAAACCAAAAAGGGAAGCCAAACGGCAAGCCAAACAGGGAAACCAAAAGGGAAACCAAAAGGGAAGCCAAACGGCAAGCCAAACAGGGAAACCAAAAAGGGAAGCCAAACGGGAAAACAAAAGGGAAACCAAACAGGGAAACCAAAAATGGAAGCCAAACGGCAAGCCAAACAGGGAAACCAAAAAGGGAAGCCAAACGGCAAGCCAAACAGGGAAACCAAAAAGGGAAGCCAAACGGGAAAACAAAAGGGAAGCCACCTACTTGGATCCATTTGGAGGGCTCTCCTACAGGACACATTCGTTGGACTAGCTTGAGATTCAGATGTCCGGCCTGACCCTTGGGCATCTTGCCCTTGAAGCCGTCGAGGTCCTGGCAAACTGCGAGGTGTGTTCAGCGTAGACGTCACGGGTTTGTTTGTATGCGGCTTGAACCTGCGCCCGGTCTTGATCAAAGATGCTGTAAAATGACTGGGAGCGGACGGTGGCCAGCTGGGTGCCTCTCAAAATCGGAGGGCTGCAAACATTGCATGTTGCCACTTGGTTTTCTCTTAAATCATTCAACATGACTTCCAAAGGTGATGTTGAATCCATCCGTAAAGGGGAAACATGGGGGGGTTTCTCAAAAATAGGGATCCCGAAAAATGGTTGGCTTCCTTTCTTTTGCGTTCAAATACCAACCATTTTGAGGAACCCTATGGCCATAAACCGGAGGTGTCGTTCTCAGAAGTCCCCAGCTTCGGGACCAGAAACGCATCTCTCCTTGGACTGGTAGAAGTGCGGAGCTACCTCCAGAGCAATCCCACGGAGCTTCATGCAGAGTTCACTGAACAAGTTCCGAAACGGAGGAAAGAAAGCGCCTCTGGACGGAACTCACAGTACCCACTCGCAGAAATGTGTATGAGGCATCCCAAGAAACCTTTCACCGGAAAAGTCTCTATAAGGTCATGCAACCCTTTTGCGGTGCATTAAAGCTTGGGAGAGATGAGAAAGGTAGAACACGGCCCCGAGATTCGGGCCGTGTTCAGACGGCAATTCAAGGGTGATCGGTCCTTTGGGAAGGCTGTGTGAGTGAACCTGGCAGTAGAAGGTTGACACCTGTGCATCATCCAAGCCCCAACCCACGTGTTGACCAGTGGATTTCCTTGAGCCCACTGTGAGTGCCGAACAGTTGGAGGTCACATCGCCACGGATTGGTGGGAAGGGAGGCAATGAAGCCAAACCCAGCTGCAACGTGTTTCAGCCCTTCTTGTAAAACGTGCACCCTGTGACTTGAAGTGGTTTAGCCGGGGATTTTCGGCTCCACCGTCGATGAGGTTTTAGGCCGGGCGGATGTGTAGAGAGTTGCTCCCACATCCCTGAAACAACTCACCAGGTCGCCCTCAGCCCTCTGGCAGGCTCACCCACTGATTCTGCCGTCTGATGAGGCCTTACGGCCTTCCACCTTGGGTGCTCGCAGGATCACAGTAGCTTATCGATTCCACATTTGTTGCATGTGTCTGGCCTCAAAGCGACTTCCAAATCTTGTGTGTGGCCGTCGAGAGAGCAGTCAGACATCAACCCCATTTCAAACATGCTTTTTGCATGTGCTAGGGATGAAATGAGCAGTATCCAAAAATGGGCAACCCGCCTTGTGGACAGTGTCTCAAGACAAACCACTCAGAACCCTAGCCATGTTGGGTCCTCGATTCTAGAAAGAAGCTTGTGTTCTTTGAGAGCAAACCTATCTTGGGAAGATGAAATTAGTTCGGGAGTTCCATTGGAGACACAACCAACGGAGCAAACTCCATCCGCGATTCATCATAGCGGATTCCACTGGTACATAATTAGAACCAAACTGAAACTGGCTACCAGTACATGGTGTCCCTATATTCTGGCCATATTCCCCCTTTTTGGTGGTTTTCAACATCACCTTTTGGCTTTTGGGCCTTACCAGTGGAGCTGCCAAAAAATCCTCGCCTCCAGGAGCCATTCCGGCTTGACTTCGATGCACTAGGCGGGCACGGGGGATGGTCACGGAAACCCTCTTGTACCGGGGAAAACCTGGGCCCGACCCCACAACCCAAGGGTTCTTGGCTCGAAGGGCAGCCGACAGCAGCTTTTTTCCTTTATGCCTGAATCAGAAAAGGCTACCACACGCACAGGGATCTCCTCCCGTCGTCATGGAAATTGAGTGCGTGGCATTAAAAGCAAGACTACTCGTAGTAAGCCCCCAAAAGCACTGGTTTCCTTTTGTGATGCCCTCAAACATCCCCCCCTCCCCGCCCCCAAAGAAGCATTAATCTGAGCCACGCCTTGCCTTTGCCCAATGCCTTTCCAGGGGGGGGAATGGGTGGGAAACAGCACAAAACGGACCATCCAGGAAAGTCGAGAAAACGGACATGTGTAGCTGACGACATTGCCACAGTAAGGCAACGGGGGACCACCAAAAACCGATACCCGTCAACCTGCAAAACCGAACAGCACCGATGCCCTGGCAATATTGGTCCTTGCCCATCTGATTTATAGGTGTCCTTTTGGGACCTCTGGTTGAACACTAGTGGAGTTCACAGCTGTCAGCTCGCGTCTTTTACAGCGTCACCCCTTTTCCAAAGAGCATCAAGATCCAGGACAAAAAAGAAAACAAGAAACACAACCCCAAACCCAACAACCCAAAAGGCCCAAAACCCTAAGCCCGGGCCCCTGGGGCCCCTAGCGCCCCGCATGTACTCCTTGGTGGTGAGCACCAGCTCATGGTAGCACACCTGAGAGACGTACACCCAAGCCCAGCTGAAATGGGCCACGGGGTTTCGAGGATGTTCACCTGGGCTTGTTTTGTGGGGGGTGATGTCAATAGGGGAACTGTTGAAGGCCATTAAGGACCATTCAGGGTCATAACTATCCCATGGCTCCCTTTGGTTGGTTGTTCATTGTGGGCCTTTGCTGATACAAGCAAGCGATGATCCAAATAATCTTGGCGAGTCTCCTTCGGAGTGTGCTGGCGAACGCCTCTCGCCAAGGGTCATCTGGTGGAAATGCTATGGTTATGTTGTTAAGCATATAGAAACATGCATCCGGCTGCATGCACATAGAAATGAAGTATACACAAGCATGTGTATGTATGCACATCGTGAAGCTGCTTGTGCTACATAATATGCATACCAGTATAGCCGGCAAAGCCGGGAGGCGGAAGTTTCTAAAACGCATGCGACTTACAGCATTTGCACTGTTGCTGGTTTCAGCGGGGGTGCCTTGCTCCTTGAACATGCCACGTCAAGAACATTGCTCCCAGAACCTCCCAGCCGCACTTCTTTTCAAGCAAATGCTGCAGCACCTCGCGGCCTGAAACGACGCGCTCGGAAAGAAGGCAGCTTCTCGCATCTGATGCTCGCTGCTGAGTTCTCACGGCTTGGGGTGCGCGGCGCACGCCTAAGTTCCGCGGCTTGAAACGGCACGCGGTATTTCTGGGGCAGCTATGTCGCGTAGCTTGGCGAAGCTAGCGCTTCTTCAATTCGTGCTACTTTAGACACGGCGTCATGTCCAGTATGTCCGGTGTCAACCTTTTGGACCCTTGGCTGTGCAGCTGGGAGTCCTGCAGCTGCCAGTCACGCCGCAGCACGTCGGCTTCCACTGAAGGAACTTGCCAGGACATTGGAAGTATCGCACCGGCCACGAAATCTGTACCCAGCCTGGCGAAAGTGCTGCGCCTGCCACGAAACCTGCACCTGACCTTGCGAAAGTGCTGCGCCTGCCACGAAATCTGTGCTTGACCTTGCGAACGTATCGCCCCTGCCACGAAATCTCTGCCCAGCCTTGCGAAAGTCCTTTTGAGATTTTCGAGCTGCAGCTGGAAAGTACTTCGAATACGACTTTTGTACTTAATTTTTGCGATTTTGCAGCTGCAGCTGGAAGAGTGGAATCGTACCTTCGATCACGAAGTACTGCGCCCGCCACGAAATCTGTACGAAAGTGCTGCGCCTGCCACGACATCTTACTCGACCATGCGAAAGTGTTGTGCCTGCCACGAAATCTGCACCTGACCTTGCGAAAGTGCTGCGCCTGCCACGAAACCTGCATGCGCCGCCTTGCGCGCCCGTGCCAATGGGATTTGCGATGCGTCCGTGCCAGCGCTGCGGAAATGCTGCGCCTGCCACTAAATCTATAATTGGCCTTGCGAAAGTGTTGCGCCTGCCACGAAATCTATACCTCGGCTCGCCAAAGTGCTGCGCCTGCCACGAAACTATATCCTTGCGAAACCTGCGCGCGGCCGTGCCAATGGGCCCCTGTCCGAGACCCTTCCGAGACCGTCCCGAACAGGCGCCGCGGCAGAGGTACCTTTCGCACATCTGCAGCAGCGATTTCCTGCACCCTGCCACGCTTTCGCGCATTCTCTATCTTTTCGCGCGCTCAGACAAGGTTCTTTCAAGTTCTTTCTAATCATCAGCTATCCTTCAATTAGTTTCCGTACCACGAAAGTTTCTTCTAAACTTCCTTTGATGAAACACTACTATAAGATGTCTCAGTTCCTGCTGTATTCACGAGGTCAACTCATTTTGCGCATGTTCCCTCCTCAAGGAAATTGGGGGATGTGCAATTCTTCATGGGCCCCTAGGCCATCCCGTTGAGGTCACCAGCCTCGGGTCGTGGCAGTTCGGAACTCAACCCGGCTCCTGAGAAACATGCAACTCCAGGGAGACTTTCTCCTGGGCCATTCTGCATTCTTAAGGTTCTGTCACGCTTTGCTTCAGTTGTTGGGAGGACATCAGATCCACCAAAGAGCAGCCCAAAATGCATGCTCCTTGAACTTTGCCCCCCTGTCTTTGAGGACAGTACCCCACTATTTTTGTTTCAAGGGCATTGACTTTCAGCCACAAGGCAATGACATGAAAAGCATTTGACAGCTTGACCCTATGAACCCTTCTATATTCAGGAAGCCTACCATCCGAAACCTATACCACTAGTTGGGTGACCTTGAATGGTTTCTATCAAATGGATTCCTTTCGGATGATACACACTGGATTGTCCAGTGCAAGCGATCGGAATCCTTTGATTAGACCTCGATCAACGGGTAACCTGAACCAGGTCACAAGGTGTTGAGCTATTTGTTGTAGCATGGTTCGCCATGTCCACTTTGGTGTACCTTTTCAGTGGGTCTCACAGAATTTAAAAAAGAAAAAGGTCTGGCTTTAATCCATGGACACCTTTTGGAGTGGCTTGAAGGAAAACCACAGGCAACCCGCCAGTTGATTTTAGGACAAACCGATTTCCGCTGGCCGAAACTTATTTGCCGGAGCAAAATCCCATATTTGAGACAACCCTCAGCTTATGCTGGGTAACCTATTGGGTTGACCCCACATTTTGCTGCCAACCTGCAGCCCGCTGGGCCCCTCTGCGAGTCTCGGCTGCTGCCCGAAGAGGGACGAGGTGGGGTGGATCTCCACCTTGAGTCGCGTGGTTTAGTCGAGCGCCGACTAAAAATTGGGAAAGGAGCCTGGATGCTCAGGGATCCTTGGAGGATACATCCAAAACCACCAGATTTACAAGCATTCGGCATTCGGATCCTCTAGGGCAGCTGGCAAAGGTGATTTTGTGAGTGGCCCAAATGTAGCCTTTGAGGGACGCTGAATGGTGCTTACAGAAGAACAAGCCAAAAGGAAATCATCTTTTACTGAAGGCTCCTTTATTAAGACTCGGGCAGAAGGCCAATTGCCCCTGTCAGGTTATGGCAAAGGAATGTATGCCTTGGCCAGAATCACTGTAAACATGGTCCGAAGACCCAGCGATGTCTTGCGGAGATGCCCTCCGCCGCCCCTCCGCCTGTCCCGTCCCAGAAACTCGAGGGCAACATGCCTTCCCTAAGGAGGGTACTTGCCTTCAAGGAAAGCATGCTTCAATACACGGGATCAGGCGGCCGGGGCTCATGATGCCAACTTGGCCAGTTGCTGCAGGCACTGCAAGATTCTAGCCCAAGCAGTGATTGAAGTTGTCAAGGGCAACAGAATGCGACACTGACTCCCAGGAGTTCAGCCAAGAGAAAGACTGAACTCTGGGTTTGCCACTATTTAAAAGACGTTCCGAAACAGAATAAAGTCCAAGAACAAGCAAAGATCGGATGACATACGTGACACATGTGCATGCTATAAGTACATTCTACCTTTACGACATGTCCCTATGTGTATCTCACTATCGTGCAACGCTTGACCTTTCCCCCAAAAAAAGCACAACAACCAAAACAACTCCGGGCAGGTGACCATGATGAATGCGAGTATAAACGGTACGTAAAGTTTGCAAGCGTGCATGGCGCGCAGTGGAGATGTGGTATATGTTCAGAGAGACACGCGGAGTGCCTGCTTCATTGGGATCACATGCATCTACGTTGTGATGTGAGGCTATGGTCTTCCGCTCCAAGTAAACTTGGCGCCAACAAAGAGTTCAATCCATCGATGGTTTCTTCCCACTTTTTACCAACATGTAACATGAGACTGCATTTCACATCTAGATTCTTCGCTCTGGGACAAAATGTCATAATCCAGACACATGTAAACCCCCAGAGCAACTATCTGTTCATCATCAGACGAAATTGTTCAAATCCAAACGGATAAATCATCAAAACCAGCTCCCTCTCCTGAAGCTCGATACCAAACTAATCCTTCCACACTCCTGCAAATTGAATTGGCAGCGCGTAAACCCTGCCAACAACCCCGAATATGCACCCTCTGTCATTCGGGCGTGCTCAAGCACGCTTTGAACGTGTTAAAGCTAACACCAGAGCGCCTCTATGGATGCACTTCTTGTGATCAGGACTGTCGAGACTCAATGATCTGGCCGAATTATCATAATTTCCTGATGACCCCTCGCAAAACCACAGCAACAGCGCAACTTGAGGCGCTGGCGGTGTGTGGGTGCTTCACTGTAACGTAGGACCTGAGATGTTCCCCACGGGAAAGCCAAGAAAACTCAAAACACAATGCTCTTGGGATCAGAAATTGGATGTTTTGTTCCAGTGCAAGTCAGGCAGCTTCACTTTGCACACCCCAAAGTGGGCCTGCTGACAAGAAGCACTTCATATTCAAAGCGATGAACGCTCGAATAGAACACGCGGGGTATGGCATTGACGTGACATTCTTAGGCATGGTAAATGATTTCCTTGCCAAACATTTCTCAGACGATTGATGTCTTGCTTTCTGGAAAGATTGCAAACAGGCTCCTCTTCTTGTTAGGCTCAAAACAAAAAGCCATAAACAACTTGCAACTTGTTGGTTGGCTGCAGTGTCATTTAGGAGGATCTGTTGCGTTCATTGTTTTGTTGGTTTGGTTTGCGTGGTGCTTGCTTGATCCTGATTCAGGGTAGGTGAGTTGTGAGATTGTTGGGCATAGCAGTTTTGCTGAATGGTTTAACGTTGAGGTTGGGTTGCAATGGTGACTAAATACTACTCAAACTCGAACAGCAATATGACAAATGGTTGCGGAAACACGGTTAACGTCAAGATTGCCCAGAGAAGGGGATACGGTGGGGCATGCAGAAGAATGAACTTGGCGCAGGACTTGTGCAGGTGTTTAATTTGTAGGTTACCTCGCGCGAGGACTTGCCGGTCCACAAGGAATCGGGATCTTGACCACCCCCAAGACTTCCACACCACTCTAAGCTCCCCCATTCTCTGAGAGGGAGTGCTTATTGCAAAGTTGAAAGGGAGACTCTGGGGGGAATGACCCTTCACCAACCACTGGGTTCTTGTAGGGAATGCTTGGAAGGCTCATTTCTATATTCCCTAAGCTTGCACAAGCAAGATGGTTGATGGGCACCCGGGCCCATCTTTGCGGAGCCGCGCGGTGTTGTAGAAGAAGCCAGAGAGGATGGCTTTCCTCTGCCCTGGACCGAGAGAAATTTGTCGAAATGGGCAGTGGAACTTGTATTTTGTGTGGGTATGTGATGCTCAAGCCGTGTGGCAAAAACTAGCTGTAAGCTCCGAAAGACACATATAGCCATGCCCTCCACCTGCTGGTGTGCTTTATCAAGTCGTGTGTTGTTTTGACGTGTTGTTTTTGCTTCACGACGAAACATGTGCTTGAAGGTTGGAAGCTGAGGCTCCAAAGACAGCATGCGTCTACAGTTTCTCCATGAAGATCAGGACACAACAGAGAAAAACACATGCAAAAGCTAACGTGCTTGAGAGACACGCAACGCCAGGTGTGAAACGCAAAAGGCGTGCTTTCTCGTCGGACTCTTGGATCTCGGACCGTCAACATCGTTGACATTGGAGGAATGCTCGATCTCGACCTGGCCATGGGAGAGCGTGGGTACCAGTCAACACTCCGGTGGATAGTCTTTGTTACCCTTACAGACCCAGGACTAATAAAGCCAGGTTGTGGAAGGGTCACCCCTCCCTTTAAGAGGGGATCTGGATCTGAACGCCGAAGTTGGTGGGCTAGCCTGGGTAATTGTTCTGGCCCGCCTGGGGCAAATTTGATGGGACATCCATTCTGTGCTGATTGAAAACAAGCCAACAAAAGCTGCGCTGCTTTCGCAAACCTCTAAATAACCAATTCTTGCGGCAACGTGATGCAACGTTTTTGGACGTAGTAAAGTGACCACGAGAAGAATGGAGATTGAATACCTCCCATCCCAAAGCTACCTGCGTTGTCATCAGGTTCCAAGCTGCCTTTCCTCATGGGCAGATGCTTTGACGGAAGCCCGCAGGCCTGTCCTCCTGTCAAGAACCCTGTCAGGGAGTGTTCTTTTGGGATGCTCCTTGACGGATGAATCCCAAAAATCCTTGCTTTACGGGGGATTCTCCAACTCAGCTGGCTAGGGTGATCTTTCAACTCACCCGAAAGTATCCTGAAAGGCACCCTGTTGACAGAAGAAAAACAGAGTGTCGGCCACCCACAGTTGACACCCACTTCTCAGACAGGGTTCCTGATATGTCCCCAACCAACAAGCATCATCGCGAGAAACAGACAAACATGAAGAACAACATAAGGTGGCGACGAAGGTGATGCTCAAAACAACCAAGAGCCAGCTCCCTCACAGTGCCAGCCGCCATGCTCGTTTGCAACATGTACAGCGCCGGCTATGGGCCATTCGTTGCTGTGGCCCTTGTTGCGGGGATGAGGTTCACCAAAGCAAATCCTTGCCGGAGGAGGGTTCCAGCTTTCTCTTGGAGTGGCTCCCGATTCAAATGCCGAGTGGTGCTACCCACTCAAGCCAACTCCACAAAAATGACAGGCTCTGAAGGCCTTACTGGTTGCAAACGCAAAATCCGTGATTTGAAGTTGGCTGCCCTTTCAGGCCGGTGTGGTTCTCCTGCGCGCGCTGCATTCCTACTGCAGGCAGTGGGGTGGGCATAAACTGATTCTGAAAAAGTGGCTTGATGTTGATATCCATGCCCAGTAGTGTCTTGCCCTCGGCACTGGGGTGAAAGGGACTATCCCACTGGTAGCTCAGACCAGACACTTGCTTTCAGCCACCTTAGTGAAAACGATGAACAAACCAACCCAACCACGCCAAACCAAACCAAACCAACCAACTCCAACCAAACACATCGAGCCTTCTCCAACATGTCCACCAGCTGCTCTCGGATGTCCCGCGCCCTTTTCAGGGACCTGCGCCACTTCGCGAGGGATTCCAGCGGGACGCGAAGCCTTCGGTCAAAGCGAAACGTGAGAATCCATCGAAATGATATCCTCCGAATGGCCAATATCAAAAGACTCAAGTCATGGTTTGGCATTGTGTTATGAATATCAGATATTGATATTAATGGTTCAAAAAGTCAGTTTTTGTAATGTAGATTTCACAATATCAAGCCTTAAGCAAACTACCGCAAATTACAAGAAAGATTCCCCCTGGAAAGAGGCTGCGTAGGTTTGAACTCGGTTTGCCCCCGGATCGGGGAGCTCGTGACTTTTCCCGCCATGTAGATGAAAAACTTAAATCCTGAGACGATCCGCTGAGGTGCAAACAAGTACCTGGACCCAGTTGTCATTACGGATTGACCCAGCATTCATAGGCTTTCATCCGATCTGTGCGTCCACAGTAGAAAAGGAGGCAACTGTCAAAGGGCCGGGCTGCTGGGGGAATCTAAGTTGGATTTGCGTGGGAAGAACTCATTTCCCGGAGATTCTGCTGCAGTACAAGGCCAAACCAACACATGAACTGCTTGTTGTGGAACTGGTGAATAACGGCGCATCGGCATCGTAAAACTTCAAACAGCATAGCCCACAGCCTAGACCCCAACAACAATAGGCTGCTTTTGGCCGCAGATCCGCAAAGGTCAATTGCCACAGGTTTGCAAAGCCAACGTTTGCCTGAAATTTAAGAGAGCTTAGGCTTTAACAGATTGAGCCTTGCGTTTGTTTTTGCTCCCCAGCCCAAGGTTCAGATTGAGCAAAACATTCTCCCCCTTAGACAGTGATTGCTTTTTTGTAGTTGGCAGGTTTGAGATGGCCAGAAACAGCGACAAAGAAAGGGGTGCCCGTGTTCTCCTGGCCCCCTACTGGTTACTTGTCCAGAGCCAGCGAAAAACACCCATTTGTTGGTTCATTTGAAACGGGCGTCTCAGCCGACAGAAAGACCGCGTAGGCATTATCAAAGACTGAAGTGTTGCTGCTCTCCCCCCACCCCCTTCCAAGCCTGTTTTGGAGATAGTTCTCCATGCACCAGTTCAGCGAGAAGCCCGTCTCCTCCCACCTGGATTGCTCATGGACCAGGCTTAAAGTAAGCGAAACCTTATCGTGGCACACTGCAAGGAGGCCGCAACAAGTCATCCAACGAAAGCCTTTGCGTAGCTTCGAAATGTAAGTTCGATAGGTCATCGCAGGATTGACAGGGTGGTTGCCCCTTACAAACCGAATCCACTTGCCGGCTTGCTACATTCGTAGATAACCCAGGATCTATTTGGAGTCTTGATTTTCTGGCTTCCGTTAGATGCCTCAGTCGCGATTGCAGAGTCATGCCGCTCAGGGTCCGTTTGCCTCCAGCCTGGCATTCACCCATATTGTGAAAGCAAGTCACTACTCAGCCACGTTTAGTCCTTTAGTTCAAGAACGGTGCAGGGGCAAAGGGCTCGCTATAGTACTATCCAGAAGGAATCTCCCTCTAAGCTGGCCCAAAAGCACCAAAAGGGGAATGTAAACTATGCTCAGCCTACAAAACAGCTTTGGCTGAGCCTACGCAGACCATTGTTCCTCAGAGCATGGAAGATAAACAAGCCGCTAACTCAAGCTGCAGAGGTGGAACATATCAAAGTAACAAGTTGGCTGTTGGCAAATCGACGTGCAGCAATGCCAAATATCCTATTTCTAGAGTGATAAGGGCGCTGGTGATTCTATCATATTTTTCCACACCAAAAACACAAGCTTCTCCAGCTACACTTACCCATACCTCCCAGCCCCCCCCTAAATGGCCAAAACCCAGCCCTGTCCGTTGTTTTTTGTTGTTCCTTTCCGGGCCCTCCCCCCCCCCCCGGGTCCGCTGCCGGGTTTGTTTCTCTTTTTCTCCGAGGCGCTGCTTGTAGACGTGGAGCATGGTCATGTGGTCGCCCCCGGGCTTGTGGAAGTTCTTTCTCGCGTTGTCCGCGTGGAGACCTCACGAAAGCAACCCCGCGCTTCGGACGAAGGCAATCCAACTCCCCCGCCCCCCAATCTATCAATAGCTTCCAAGGGACAAGAACATGACCGGTTGAGATGTTGGCTCTACTAACTGATCAACATGGCAGGAAAACAGTTTGTAGCCCGGAGGGAAGCACTGAAGAAGCACACGGGCCATTGTAAAAATACCGTTTCTCGCAACGAACATGGGGAAAGTGCGGCTGCTTCTTTGGTGGGAAAATCTGGTGACTCCTTGATGTCCTTCCCGAGTAAAAAAGGGAAGCAACTCATTGGAGGTATCGGGTCTTGATCAAACAACCTCCACATGCAACCTTGAATTCTACAGGCACCTGCCGAGTGAAATGGAACAGCGGCTTTCCTGCACCAATATAGGAGGAAACAAATAGAACATGTTTGCGTGCATTTGTGTGCATGAGAGGAGAAAAAGAGAAAGAGGTGGATCTCTGTGAAAATAATACATATAATATATATATATATATATATGTGATTATATATGTAGGTTGCGATTGGTTTCTCATAGGTTTTCAGCAGGTTCCCATAGTTTTGGTGTTTGATCTTCAAACGAGCATCCCTCTTCAATCATGGCGCCTCGAGTACCCCGCCTTTGTCCTTGGGTCTGTAGAAGATTGCGCCATCCACGCCTCAAGCAGCGCGTGTCAATTTAGGTGAGTCCGAAACAACAACGTGGCTTTCCTTTCGGCTTCCCTTTGAATTAGCCGGAAAAGGGTCGCCTCAAAAACAAGCACGCCCGTGTGAAGTTCGTCAACCCCTCCATTGCCATGGAAAACGCGGGAAAAGGGATTGCAAAAGTCGCCCCGCATAAGGTATGGGTTGGAATCTTCCTGAATTAACCAGGGCTAGGGAGGCAGGGGTCTGACACATGAACGTGCGGTCTTGAGTTTCGCCGTCGGTCTTGCTGGAATACGTGATCCGCAATCTGGGGCGTAGGGCCTGGTACTCATTGTTCGATCTAGGGGCAGACCGAAGCTGAGTTGACCAGAGTCTGACAAGCTTCCCAGATGATAAATAATGGCGGGGTAAAACTAGGGTAGACATTTGCTAACGTTCGGCAGAAGGGTGCGCCAGCTGTCAGCTTAGCAGCGTGAAATGATTTAAGGGCGGGGGCTGAAGGAGGAAACCTCCATCCTGCGAGCTTAGGTTTGCTTCCCTTTTCAAACCATCCAGAGATGAAAGAGCAGGTTCTTTAGGATTCCTTAGGCATCAGCTATTCGTCCAAAGGAAACGCTTACTTGGCAATGTTTGTCTTGGACCCCAGAAAGGAGTTAGGACTTCTCTGGCTATTCGGGTTTCCCTCAGGGGGGCTTGGTGGGGTCAAGGGTGGTTTCCTCAGAAAATCAAAGCAGGGTTGCCTATGGTTCCCTGCCCTTGAACCGTCACCCAACTCACATTGCACGCAAAGCGCCGGGCCAAGCATGCTGCAGATGGTCACAACTTCGTCCACACACTTGTACTTGTCAGCCTGGCGAAGGGAAGCAGCCTATTAGCCCCAGCACACGCACCCACAGTGTTTTAAAGCGAAGAGATGCTCGCAACACAACACCAGAACTGAACTGAGATGCCTCTTGCTTTCATGTCCATCAACCCCACGTGCTCACTCCGGGCATATCCTCACCTATGTCCCTTGTGGGAGAAGGCCGGGAAGCCTGTCCTTTGGCACGCATCCAAATATTACCTGCACCCAACTCGTGAGTTGTACCCATGTTGCCCATGTATCTAACAGGTGTGCTCTCTGGACGTCCATTGGCGCATTAGCGTCCTTTTACGCTGGGCCACATAGTTACAATGCTGGCAAAATTTGATCAAATCAAAGTTGGAAACAATCAAATAAAGACAGAAAACAAACAAACAAACAAACAAACAAACAAACAAACAAACAAACAACAAACAAACAAACAAACAAACAACAAAACAGGAAAGCAGGCGAGCAAGTAAGCCGCCATTTTTTGGGACTTCCACGCATCAAGGCGTCTGCGGTATCAGTAAACCTCTGCCCGTGCATGAGTCATACTCCTTATGAGCGGCCCCCACGCGGAAAGCATGCCACAAATGCTTTCCAGACCGTTGAATGCAAAACTGTCAGCTAAGCGAGAACAAAATGAACAGTATAGGCGAACTCCCCCTGTGTCTTGTCAAGCAAATTCTTGTGTTGCAAGCACCAGCATGTTTGTCAGACGCCAGGTCCATGTGCAGCCTAGCTTTACTTGATAAGACGATGGACTTGATATGTTGACTTCATACTTCATTCCCAAGATTGGACTATGAGTATTTGCGATCGAGAAGCGGACGCAGTGGATGTCTGCCAATGTGACCCTTTGCCAACACCGGCTTCGTCAAAGGAAGCCCTACAGAGCTTTGGCGCCAGTAGGTTGATGCTAGCCAAGTATGTTGTCGCTCTGTCAATTGCAGCAGCACATATTCACGTGTCAATTCTTCAGTCATATATCATTCCAAGTTCGCATGAAACATGTAACCTTCTACAATGCAGCACCTCCAACACCCCTGTTCTTCAGTCAAGCAAAAACATATGGTTCTTAGCTGTTTCCCCTGGGGCAGGCGTAGGACGGTGAATTATCACAGATACATGTTTTAAGTTTATAGTAAGAAAAAGCTTTCCGGATCCAACATTGACCGTGTGAACCTGCATAGTCATAGATCTCACCGTGTAGAATTCTAGGGAGAAAAGGCTGCAGTCGTTTTGAAGTTGAAAGAACGCGACTTTTGTCTGGCCAGTGTATGCTTTGAACATGTCAAACAACCAAGCACGTGTGAAACACATGTTTCGGAAACACATATTATGACAAAAGAAGCGCAACGAATGAGCGGATACCGTGCTGGTAATGCGGGACCTTGTTTCATACCCCTTCCCCCCAAGAACAGTCCAAGCAGTGCGCGGGGTCCTCTATCAAGGTCTGGCAGCTTGGATGACCTAAGTGTTGCTTTAGTATTGCCAATACTTAGATTCATATTGCCAGCACTTCCTGTTGGATTGCCAGTTTACCAGGACTTGGTTTAGAATTGAATGAAAACTAATTAGTATTGCCAGATTTGACCCACCCCAGAAAAAAATGACATTCAAGCAGACCACCAAACAGTCATATTAGACAGAATCACTGTCTCCCGTGAGCACCCGCTTTGTACGACTGTTTGGGCTTAGCCTGGTTTTTGCTTTTACATAGAAGTGACTTTAAATTTGTCGGTTTGGGGACAGCTTGCAAACTTCCTAGATCGAAGAACTTGAGCCTCTGAGCTGCGAAGGACTGATAAACCGCCCCGTAAAAAGCAAGGCCAAGGCTTTGGTATAAGTATATATTTGCCCAGATTTAATTTCCGGGCCTGAGCCAGGAAGCTGAGAGGAGAAATAAGTTGCCCATGCTGTTCAATTTGCTCAGATTGTTTGTGAACGTTGGTTTTAACTTGACGTACAAAAGAAAGATGACCCCCAAACAGTGGGGGGATCGCATTTAAGCCGAGGAAATTTGACATAATTCAGGATCCCGATATTGAACCAGGTGCCACAGTAGGCTCACTTGAGCCGTTCCCAGTCTAAGTCATGCTTTGCGAAATATTGGTTCGCACAGCCATTTCGCGGCTCTACATCTCGCTCGTGGAGGAACTCTGCACAAAATGCCCCAGCTCTGCAAGCTACATGTGACGCCTGGATCAGCGATTTGGACTGCTGAGGGTCCATGGGGAACTCTGCCATGCGCCGTCCTTGGTCGCGCAAGTCAAAACCGCCTAGATGACTGGATCCGTGACCTCGCGCCTGCGTGCGTGCTCCCCGATCCCTGTGAGTGTTGGATTCGATAGGGGGACGTGGGACGCACAAGCCTTACATATTCCCAACCTTCGCAGGCGACATGCTGGAAACAATCTATACAACTGGGCCGACCACCGGCCACATGCCGAACATCACGAACGAAACCAACCGGGGAAAGAATTGGCCGCACAGGGTGTTTCATCGAAAGCAGCTCCAACACCGACGTAGACAATCATCGGTGAAGGTTGCCTGCTCAGCTCCGAGCCAAGCTTGGTGAGGTCGCCCTGGTCATTCAAAGCCTTGATTGCTTGGGTCTGGAAACGGGCCACGCCTAGTTGAATGCCGATTCACTCTGCGCCGTATCTCTATGTCACACTGGTTTGACAAGAAAGGAAATGAACGTCATCGGACCCTCCAGCAGCAGCAGGAATAAAACACCACGAGAAATCGCTACCGTGCTTCCATGTTAGGCTGGGCCCTGAAGCATGACATTTTGTGATTGGGGGATCATGGCAGAAAAACACGAACAAACTTCAAAACCCAAGCCCTTGGCTTCAACCAAAGGGAAAAGGTCCGCGACAAACAGCACGGTTTTTTGGTATCCAAGTCACGAACAGGATGATTGCCCGTAGTTGCGACAGGGCTCGGAATATCCGAGTCACGTGCAGGAGGACTTTGCCCACAAATGAGACACGGTTTGGTCCACTCTGTCTACAAAGGTTCACCAAACCGCGGTGAAGCGGAGCACGCCGGCTTCAAAGGTGCCAACACAGTTAGGATGCCAAGTTCTGCCTTCAACCTCCAAGACTGACGGAAACTCACCAAACGCAAGTCCATAAAACACACTTGCGTTTGCGCTGGGCTTCACGCACATAGCGACGTGATCTTCGTGGGCCAGAGACAGCTTACGCCCTTCTAAGCGCCCGGCACTGAGCGCGTAGAGCTGCTCCAGCGCCTGCCAGGCCCAGCAACACGCGCGCCTGCGTTCAAAGCGCGCTCAACGCAAGACCCCTGCCAAGCCTAGCTTGACCTCACGTCTAGCCACGCCAAGCGCGGCGAAGCGTGGACACGCCGCCCGCATGTAAAGCAAGACGCGCACAGCTGCTAGCTTCACGGTTCGCAGCACCATGGCAAGTCACTCGATCCTGTCCCTCTGACGTCGCCCACACAGCGGTGTGGAAACTAAAATACGATCTTGTCTCTCCGCTCATGGGTGCGTATGACCACAACACATATGACACAAAACAGTGCGAGAAAAAAAGGGGAGAAAAAAAAGGAAAAAACACATCACAGCCCCAGTTGATCAAAAAATGACTCAACCCTGCTTTCTGGCTATGTGCCTGTGTGAATTGGCAATCCCTTGGATAGGCCCTGGGACATTATTCTGCTGGGTGGGAGGAGGACACGATACAGCATATTTCCCTGGCTGCTCTACAGATGTCAAAGATGTGGAGTTCTCCCTCTTTTGACAGGCTTCACTCACCTCACCTCCTGGGATTCACAAGATGTGTGGCTGTCTCTCCAAAACCGGGCACCAATTTGGGAACACACACACACACACCGTCAATCTGAGTGTCGTGGCGATGCTGTCGGACCAGGAAGGCATGGTTCGACTTGGAAGGGAACCCTCATTTGAGGCAGAAGCTCAATTGTCATTGGCATTGCCGCGAGTGGCACATGTTAGACACGTGTGAAGCTCAGGGTGTCGAGCTTCAGATGTTGGGACTGTCGTTCAAAGACCCGACGTCGGGCCCAATTCACAAGCCAGAAAGGCACCCCAAAGAACGGACCCTTGGATGATATAGAGTCAAACATGGCACCATCAGCTTGTCCCATTCAGCCTCAAGCATTCGCACCTGTTTATGCCACCCTGCACCTCTGACTGAAGCAAATGTCTGAGGGGAAAGCCATAAGGGAGCCCTGCTGGAAAGGTTTAGATTCAAGGCAGACCAGGGTGAGCCAGCCATTTGGGACAGCCCAGTCTGAGAAAAGAGACTGGGCGGCGGCCCAATGAGTTGCTTGCTATTCTCTTCGCAAGCTGATCGCCTTCCTGCAAGCCACAAAAAAAAGAAAAACAACAGGTGTTGTTATCAGGTTGATCAGTGGACATGAGGCGCTTTGGCGGCTTCTGCGGAGTCTCTTGATAATGGCAGGCCATCTCTGTAGCCGCCCAATCCCTTGCTGACAGGAATTTGTTGCCTTCGATTGATATGCAAAAAAGGAGGCGAAAGGAAACCAACCACGTTCACGGACCACGTTGAGAAACCCGCAGATGTCATCAACCCCCCTGTACTCTCTGAACGTCTAAGGCCACCCACATCAGTTGATCCACGCGAATTGTTTGTCTCAAAAGTTTTGAGACTGTCCTTCACTTTATTAGCTTGCTTTTGAAATAGTGCCATCTCGATCGCCTTCCCATTTTGAGACAAACCCCCACTCTATGAGCTGCCCCAGTCTTACGGGTCGCTGACGCCTCTAGTTGTTGCATTTGGGGGTGTTTCAAAAACTGAGCACCCGCAAGAACACTTGGTATCCTGTTGGTGTTTTATTGAACGCCATCCACAAAGGGCTCCCCAGGTTACACACTATGGGGCCTCCCCTTCTGGTCACAGATGTACGCCAGCCATTGGCCTCCTCTCCGCTGCTTTCTAGGACCAGTCGACAGGTCGGAAGGCGCGACAACAAACGCACACTGCTTCGTGCGCCACGCATCGTGTTTTCAAGGGCAAAGCAATGGACACCAGCCAACTGTGAGGTATCCCATTCCCTGCTTTTTGGACACGTACGCTCCTGCAGATGAAGATGGAACCTCAGAAACCGCCATGTTCAAAGAAATATCCTTTTGGGCCCAAGAAAAAGCATGGCTTCCTTCCGCAAATGTCCCAGACAATCTAACTTCGGATCGCCTTGATCAAAGTCTCTGGGGGCGGGGGGTCCATGAAGTCAAAGTGCAGCAAGTCGTCGATGCCGATGGACTTCAGCATCAGCCTCCGCGGCTCGATCTTTTTCGAGTTCGTTCTGAAACGGTGGGTCTCTAAATAGGGGAACGCAATAAAACAATGTGGTTTTCCCATTGGCTTCCCTTGAAACCAACCCCAAAAAGGTGACAGACCCCAATTTGCGTGTCTCAAAATTCCGGCCCCCTCCAGATTGATTTCCCTTAAACTTTAAAGGGGTGCCCTCAACAAACAGGCGCGCACCCACAAATCGGGGAGTGGCCATCTCCCTTTCGGCTCGCTCTACATTCGAACCAACGTCCTTTGCGTCCCTGTGAAAGAGGGCTAGGGCCTTCATTCGCCAGGGCCTAGAAGTGGTCAGATCCACCTGTAGGTCATAGGGATCCACACAGACCCAGGTCGCGTAGCCAAACGCGCGCTCTGGCTGCTGCGGTTCCCAGCTGCCTCTCACTGCCCTGAACAAAGCACCTACTCTCAATTCTAGTACCGCATGGCTGTCCTTTTTGGGACAAACGAAAAACAAAAAGAAAAAGCAGAAGCGAACCCCTGGTTCCCGAAAGGTTCAACTTTCCAGACAGCTATGCCCCCAAGACACGCACAAAGTAAACAACTGCTTGCTGGTTGGTTGAAAACGCACATGTTCAAAGGTCAAAGGTCCAACCAACTTTTTCGGAGCTAAGATAACTTCAATTCGTTCAATTCAGGCACTCATTGCATCTGCGGGTATTTTTTCCCAGCCCCAACGTCTGTCTTCCCACAAAGTGGTCAAAACACGAAGGGGTCCTCATCTTCTGCGACACGACTGGCCAGGCCAGGACCCGAGCACGACGTGACCCAGGTTCGAGCGCTGGATCTCGGGAGCCTCGAGCGACGTCTCAGTTGGGCTTGGCATGGGCTGGGCTTTCAAGATCACGAATGTTTCCCAAGAGGACATGGAACAATTCAAGTTCCCCTGGTGTGGGGAAAATGAGCGAGTCCTTCTCAATAGACCCAAGACTCTTGGTACTCTTGACCAAGCCTCGGGTGGTTTGGGGGATTGGGATGGCTTGAAACTCGAGTAAGACAAGGGAACTGCTTGATCTTTAGGTGGGTGGCCTGAACTGGCGGAGCCAAACCCCTGAAAGGGTTCTTTAATTTTTTAGAGTTGACGCAATGATTTCAGCCCGGCCCTCGTCGCACTTTGCCCTTGAGCATTGCGAAATCGGGCAGCGCGAAAACCTCGTTTGCAAATTACCACAGTTGACCCCTGCATAACCCCCCTAGTCATTCAGCGGGGCCGTGTTGAGGTGATTGGAGTCTCTGCTTTCGAAATCAACTTGGGGGTCTAACCAGCGGTCGGACTGCAAACACGTTGCGCAAGGCAAATGCCAAGGAAAAAAAACACGTGGCGTCAGTCGGTAGGTGCAACAGAAAAGACTCAACAAACAAAAAAGCGTGTCGGCCATGTCAAATGTTCTGTATGGGATCCTGGTCTTGCTACGTGTGTGGATTGCAATGCGAGACCATCCAAAGTTCAGAAGGGCATCCAAACGACTCGGCTTGGCATCAGAAGCTAGATATGGTCAGAAACCACTGACTTCAAAGGCTAAGCAAAGATCCAACCAACTTGATGCCAGCCGTGAGTTCGCTGGCCGCACTTTGGCGAATCCTAACTCAACGACAACCGGAAGGAAGTGCCAAAAAGGTGCGTTGTCGTCGTCCAGCTCGTGCTCGAAGGACCACTTGGTGAACAAGCGGAAGCACTTCCCAGGCTTGACCTGAGAACCCACTCGATGCGGGCCATGTGATGACACTCTCCTGCAGATTCACGTCAAATATATATTTTAAAGCTCCATCCATCTTAGGGAACCTCTGGTTTGGGGAACTCCTATTTGGTCTCCATGTGAATTTGCCAAGGTAAACCGCGTGAACTGACAAATCCTGTACTGAACAATTCTCTTGAGCGCATGGCCAGTGATGACAGCTCCGCAAAAAGACTGATATGAGAAGCTATAATATAGGCGTTTTTTCTAGCCCCCTCTCCAAATGGTTGCTTTCTTGAGTCACACAGTCCCTGCAAAACAGAAACAATGGGCTCCAGTTGGTGCCCTCGCCCCAGCCCCCAGCCCCCAGGCAGCCCGCCCGGCCAAGATCCCCGGCGCGCCCGGCGCGCCCGGCGCGCTGGTTGGCAGAGGCCTTGGAGCAAGGCACCACGATCAGCGACCTCGGCGGAGTTCGGGGGCAAACTGGCCGTGGACCTTCTTGGATGGTCCAAAGATTGTTTGATACTAATGAAACCACCCGGAAAGGTGGTTTTTGGGAGTTGGTGCCGTTTGTGGGGTCATCTTAAAGGGAAGCCAAGTGGAAAACCAGCTCCTTTTTTGGGGGGGGGCCCTGCCCAAAAGCGGGACCCCTGTGCGTCTACCTTGAAATCACAAAATCAAATGGGTCGTGGAGCTTGCTGACTGGGGACCCTGGGTCAGTTCAATTTGTATCATTTACTGCCTAAAAGGGGAGGCCGTGAGGTGTAGGGCGTGAAGCTGAGTTACTGTCTCTAAGTGCCGCCAAAATGAGGAGCGAGAGCAATGGAGTGAGGGAATTGGCCTCCCTGGCCGGGATTACTGTTTCCCCTACTTCGGTGGCCAAAAGAAGGGAGAAGGGCCTTCTGAGCCAAAGCACCTGTGGGAAGCTCCCGCTTTTTGGCGTCTCGACACTGATCACTTGAGACATACCTTCAGAACCTGATGGTCAATCCCATGTCGCCGGCTAACCACCATTCCGGCAAGCCCACTGCCTGCGACTGGTCTGAGGTAAGCCCTCCCTCCCTGCGCGGCAGCGCCATGCTCGGCTTTTGCGTCGGAACCGTGGCCAATGAGGAACGCAGAGGGCTGAGAACTGGCGCCTGCCAGTTTTACGTCACTTCTCAGACGTGAACTATCTTTTTATACCGACCTTAGGTGACAGCAATGCATTTGGCCCAACTGGCGCTCTGTCAGCCCTCTGATCCCCTAGGAAAAACGGGAAAAAGAAGCGCGGGGGCCAGGCGCTTTCGTTTGCCCCCATCATGCGGCAAGCTTGTGAGCCGCAGCTTCAAGCCTGACTTAAACATCAGGTGGTCTCAGCCGGGCGATCTGTCAAACATGCGACAGTGGATTAGAACATGTTGCAATTATGACTCGACCAATTCCAAGGGCGTGTGCAAACACTTAAATAACATCCGAACCCAAGGCTCTTTGACCGATCTCCCCTGAAAAATCTATAATGAGGCTCAGCTATTCGCACAGGTGCATTGCATAGATCAACTGATTCACTCTGGAGATGTCAGGAGATCGCTGAGGGGATCTCACTTCTTGTCCTGAGATGGTCAGGTCCCTCCCTAATGACACTACAGCCAAAAGTACTTTATCTCCCCTGGTGGCTTTTCGTTTAATCTGGCAAAATCAAATGGGTCCTCAGCTGCGCATGGTGCGCCCTCAGCAGAATAAAACAAGCATTCCAGTGCCGAGCTTCCCTGACCAGGGCACAGGTGAACTCTTTCACTTGGATCACCTTCTTCCCGTCCACATACCCCGCGCCGGTGATCTTCGCAATGCCAACCTCGCAGCTTCACGCAAAACATCGTCCTACTACCAAAGTGGAATTCCCCTTCTCGCTGCGGAGGGAAACAAACATAGCATGGGCCCAAACGGGTTCCAACCGATGCTGACATATTAGAGGTATCTGTTTTTTTTCGGGGAGCCCGGAGCCCCGGTTCAAGACCAAAAGAAAACACCGAACTTCTTGGGTTTCAAAGGAAACCAAAAGAAAGCAACACAAAAAAACTGGGGTTCCTCCCATAAAACAAACCCAGATTTGGCCCGGCCTTCTCCCGGAACTTGAGCACCTCAACCTCCATCACCAACGTGTCTCCTGGAACTAACTTGATCCCGTGCCGAAAGCTAACTCGTGGGATATTAGCTGGGATTCAACTGGCTGGCTGATTCGCGGAATGGTGTCCGATTCCACAGGAAGTCCTTCCAATTGATCCACCAGCTTGATTGGTCATGTATGAATCATAAACCCAAACCCTACAAGTCACAGTCAGGGTAGCAATTTGGCCCCTGGGAGACCCGAGGAAGCTGTTGACGGATTGTGCAGCCCCTAGAGTTTTGATCACCTTGTACAACTGTCCAAAGGAGCAACCCTGTGATGGAAAGCCCGCGTCAACCGGGGTGCAAAGTCTGCTACTCGCTTGGGACCAGCTGGGAATGGACCTGCGGTCTTTCAGGCAGATGCTGCTGAAGCAGGAATGTGCTCCAACGAGCACATGGGATTTATTAAGTGTAGGTGAAATGTGCCCAGTAGCGAGCGAGCAGAGCTGCTCACTTAAGTGTCTTTGCGCCAGGGAAAACCATGAAACTGTCGAAAGGCCCCGCTGTACTTGACATGCACGCGCAATGTAGCACTTGCGCAAGATCACGCATGCCGGGCACAATGCAATCAGAGGCCCCCGGAATGGTTGGTTTCCTTTTGAGCTTTCCCTTAAAACACCAAAATGGTTGCTTTCTTTTAGATTGAAATGGGGAAGCAGCCAAACTAGACATCTGGCACCAAATAGAGCAGTTGCCTCGTGACTTTTGGACATCCACTGCCTAACTCCTGAGGCTAGCTCCTCAGATTCCCTTCGGTCACTTTTTTAAAACAAACAACTCGCACTCAACTGTGTATCAAAGTGACTGATCTGAAAGACCTCGACGCTGGAAGGTGAACCCAAGAACCATGCCTGCAGTGGTTGCTCTCTGGTTGGTCTTGCTTCATTCAGCGATGGCAGGGAAACCAACAGTGGAAAACCAACATGGGATACCAAAAGATCTAAAGACGGATTTGCCACTCGGGCACTCCACGATAGCATAAGTCTGGAACGGCAAATGATTGTATGATCCATCACTTTGCAGTTCCCCGTACGGAGGCATCGAACGAAGTGGTTGCCCCTCGCTTGTTCTTCGATGTCTCTTCGATTCTTCTGTGGTTTCCCTTCGGTTTCCCTTTGGTTTCCCTTTGACTTTCTTACTTGCTTTAGGCAAGTTTGACTTCCACCTGTTTTCCATAGTCTTTCCCTTTAAAGGCAAACAAAAACCGACCCATGTCCTGCCTAGCCCCCCTGCTCTCCTGGCACCACCGGCTTTCGGAACTTCACCTCAGCGGGCACAACCCCCCGCCCCCCCCGGCTTGACGCCATAAGGACGTCATAGGGACGACAGATGTGACAAATGGGATGGGTTCTAAACTTCTTGTCGAAACTCCACCCCCCCCGCCCACCATTGGGGTGAGCTCAAACCCCCAGAAGGAATGCTCCACTTCCCCTTGTTTCCTTTGAACACCAAACTTGTGGTTCTTTCCCGTCAAATCAATACAGCCAAACAACTGGTTCAACAAAGAATCAGCAGTTCCGTCCTTGTCCCCCCCGGTCACTCCATCCCGGAACCAAACCCCGGGGCCCAGCTCTTACGGCCGGAGAGCGCCGTCGATGCCGGCGAAGAGGACCTGGTCCCCCGGCTGCATGCAGACCACCCCGGCCAGCTGCGCCAGTGCCTGCCGAAGGCTCGCCAGGAATTGTCCAACCCCGAACCCCGCCGTTTTGTTGGGCCCAACAACCAAGCGGTAAAATGGAGATCAAAATCCAGCCTTTGGGATTGGACCAAAAAGGCCCGGTGTTTAAACCTTTGGTAGACAATTGTTTGGACGAAACAGTCCCCACATGAGACAGGCAAAAACGGTGCCGTCGGCGCGCTGCCCCCCCCCCCCCCCCCAGACCCAGAGCCCACGCATCCTCACACCCCGCTGCCATATAATCTTAAATCAACCCTAAACCCACCCCAACCCAACCCTAAACCAACCCACGCCAATCCAAAACCAACCAAAGCAGGGAGCGGCCGATGGTTGCTCACCTCTACCATGTATACACAATTGCGGGCTGGCCAGTGTTCTGGTTAACTGTGCGATCCACAAAAGTTGGGAAGCGGTTTGGATGCTTCTCAAGCAGGGTTCCCCCTTTTTCTCCTGCAAACATCACCCTACAGGAAACTCACCTTAAATCCGACTGAGTTGTGGACAGTTGGCGCCGTTGCTCCCCTGGGCCCCCAACTTTTTAAGGGGCATAAACCCCCCCTCTGGAGAACGAAAACAAACCGGGTCGAATCGCGCACACACACACACACACACATCAAACAGCGAACCCTCTGCCTCCACCTGCAGCACCCCGGGCATGATGGGATTCTCCGGGAAGTGCCCTGTGAACTGCGGCTCGTTGGCTGTGATGTTCCTAGGTGTGAGAGTCCGAAATGCAAAAACTAACGTTGAATTGTCCAACCTGAGGTATGTTTAGAACCGCATGTTCAATCTGAGGCACTTGATGCCCACTGCTCGCTTCATCTTCTCCAAGTGGATGACTTTGTCCACCAAAAGGAAGGGGTAGCGATGCGGCAGGATCTTCGCGATGTCGATGTTGTTCTGAGATGGAACTCACAGGTCAGATGTGTCATTTGCATCGTCATCATCATCATCATCATCATCATCATCATCATCATCAACATCATCATCATCATCATCATCATCATCATCATCATCATCGCCACCATCACCACAATCACCACAATCACCATCATCATCGTCATCGTCATCAGCAACAGCATCATCAGCATTGCCATCACCATCCCCTCTGCCGGCAGGTTCCCTTGCGCGATGCCGAAGCAGCCCTTGACATGGCGCGCCCTTTGGAAAAGGTCCCTAAAGTTCTAAAGATGGCACAAGTTGGCCTTCCAAAGAAGCTGCCCATTTGGGGCACACCTATTCTTCAACGGAAGCCCGCCCAGCGGTTTCACACCAACTCCCAAGACCTCTGCTGTTCCAACTGTGCCCATTGCTCGGCCAAGCGGCACAAACGCCTGCACCCACAGACTCGGTCAATGCTGAGATCTTCCTTAGAAGAATCGCATTGATAAGCGCGCACGTGAGCTTGAAAAGGTGTCAACCTGCGATGCAGCTCGTGGCAAAACGCAGCGGCTCGAAGCCTCTAGCGCGCCACGCAGTCCCATGGAATGTGCCAGGTTTCAACTGGCCATATCATACATTACCCCAGCAGCAAGTGTCATCGACTCAAGCGATTGCTTCCTTCATGAGGTTTATCTGGAAAGAGAACGGACAAAAATACTGGTACCGCCCTTCTTGTTGAGGGGTGAGAATGGGGATGGGCCAGTCAAGGGGAGAAAACCACGCCGAAGATTCACTGTGCCAAGTTGCTCCGCATCCCGCCACTCAGCCTTCTTCTCTTCCTTCTCCTCCTGGGCAGGCATCGTTCTTTCTTGGTTGTACCGTATCTCTTGTTTGTCATTTGTCCACCAAGGCAAACTATCTGGAAAGTGTGCAAACCACCTCCATAGATGTGGACGCCACTCCCAGTGGATTGGTGGTGCGTGGGGCCAAATCATACTTAGATTGGGCCCCATGTTTACTCCCACAAGTCTTGGGGATCAATCCCGGTCGCCTTCAAACGTGTGAAAGGAGTAACGCGAAACAGTTTATGTTTGCTTTGAGAAAATCCGGACGGGTGACGTTGCCAACTTTCTGTCATCGCTGGTCTTCGCCCAGCGAAGCTCTACCTGACCGCTGCGCATGCCACGAAATCTGCACGTGACCTTGCGAAAGTGCCGCGCCTGACACGAAATCTGAACCCGACCATCTGTGAGTACTGTTAAAGCCAGGACATTCTTTGCAAACCATACCCATCCACCAGACTGCCAATTTCCCTACATATCCTTTTATGTAAAGGTGCTCAGCCGACAAATGTTCAAGGGCGGACACATGGCCACCTCAAAATCCAATAATGGTAATGCAAAAAATGGCACCCAATAGTGCGAACTGTTGCCGGGCCGGGAAAAAAAAACGATTGAACCAATGCTAAACCAACTCTAAACAGAACTGCAGAACTAAGCAAGCTCAAAGGAATACTCAAGCAATTCAAATCAGTACTAGGCAGAGAGGACCGAAGAGGCCGAAGACAACCGAAGCAATACTCAGCCAGTACTAAACGAATACAAACCAAGACTAAGCCAGCACTGGGCAGAACAAAGCAATACTAAACGAATACAAACCGATACTAAGCCAGTAGTCAGCTTAGGAAAGGCCGATCTGACCCCCAAATTGTTTCAGCGGTTTTCTCTATTCAGGCCCGGAGATTTGCTTCAGGGGGACCCTTAGTTGTTGAGGCTCCCACATTTGTCATGGGGCATTCCATTTTTGGGATTGGCCCCAAGCGTCTCCTTGTCCTTGCCCCGGCGCGCCACTCGCGCCGCGCGCGCCGCCACCACTGCCCCGACGCCAAGCAAAGGCAGGCCAAAGGCGCCGGAGGTGCCTGGAAAGTCACTCTGAGGTTCGTGGATCTTGTCCAATTCTTGTTGGGGTCACTCGGTCTGGTCGAGCCAGCGGAAAGGGATAACATACTTGCCGCGGGTGTGTCGAGAGTGGACCCGCCCGAATGAGCTTCAACGGAAGCTCCGCTATATCCGGCACCCTCGAACTGAAATGAGGCATTGCCTGGAGACAGAAGTAAAATGGCCCAAACTTTTGGACTCAACATCTTGTGGCTGAGCCGACGCGCGCGGGTCAACAAAGAGGCCGTCGGAACTTGCTGCGACAATTTGCGGGACCTTGGACTAGCCATCGCACACCTGGTCAACAAAAGCCAAACGGACACCAGGCAGAAAGCGAAAGGAAACCAAACATGAGGAAACCAAGGAGGCTCGGCGCTGCGCGCGGAAAACGTGCGAACCCCGCAGAGCGGAAAAAAACAACCAAATGTGCGGAAAAACAAAGCACAGTCTCTGCGGAAAAAGCGGACCCCTCCTGAAAGGGGGCCGTGATGAAGGTTGTCTTGGGGATCCGCTT